TACAGTTTGGACTCGTAATGAACAGTCAAAAAACGATGGGTCAAATGTGAAGGTAATGGCTTGATTTCGACAGAACCACCCTCTGGACAACCAAGTTTTGTGGAAAGATTGGAGCGATCTTACTCAATTACGGATCATAGTCAAGGAAAAAACCTTTTCAGAATATACTCGATAAAACGATACCACCCTCAACCAACGGCAACAAAAAATCGAAAAATTGTTAACTCCAATACCCAATAACGGGAAAAAACTAAAGTGGAGCAAAACAATCAAAAGAAAATTTGGCGAAGAAGAAACAACATCTACAAATCAAAACTCAAAAAATTCGACAAACTGACTTTGGAAGAAGCGGACAAAACAATTTAATCTATGCCTAGCCGTTGGAAAAAATGTAACAGGTTTTTTGAACAGAAATTGAAGAAAAAAGCTTTCGACCAAGGTAAAAATAACTTTCAGCAATGAAAAGAATAAAATTCAGCCAGGTAAAATCAACTTCCGGACAAATTAAAAAAAAATTTCAGCTAACTTAAGACCCTTAAAAGATTTGTTTTATCTTTTTTTTTCAAAAAAAAACAATCATACAAACGCCTGACAAAAAGAATGAATAATCAAATCAATCATGATCTTAAACTGGATAAAAAGCAAGTTGGTTACTTGGTATTCAAAAAAGCAAGATACGACAAATATGAAAAGTATCCCAAGGAAAAGTTACGTTCAAATCGGTTTTTTATATATAAATTTTCCTAGAAAAATAAAAATGAAATCAAAAAACGTTTCTTTTTGCTGGAGCCAGCAGCAAAAAAAAACCTGGCAACTGAAATTCACTGACGACACGATCAAAATCATAGAGAAGTTTTTCTTTTCAATAGTTTGCAATCAACACTGTTTCTGCTTAACGGTGAAAAGCGCGCCGATTTGGCAACAAGCATCAGCAGAGCCACCATTGGAATAATCTAAGCGGGAAACCATCATAAAGATGGCTTTATTCCCGAAAGACGAAATAGAGGAGCGAAATCTAATGCGAGATTATCATTGATGCTTTAAGGTCATTTCTTAAATAAAAAAGAACAATTCATTGGGGTTGGAAAACATAACACACAACTTCATTCGAGAACATATTAAAATTAGTACAAAAAAATCAGAAAAACAAACACTTTGACGAAAACCTTGAGGCCCGCGTGGTCGACGACGCATCAACTCCCGGACATGGAGCAGCACTTTAACAGTTCGTCGGAATGGGCTGAGTAGCAATAGCATAAAACTGAGATTTCTAAACTCTTTAGAACAGAAATACTCGATAAATGGATGGGAGCTACTAGGGATGGTGTTGGCAACCAAACGTTTCAACGAATGGTAGTATGGAAAACTTTCCACCGTCATCCAATTTCATCAAACTTTAATCAGTGAGTGCATTAATCGGGCGAAAGATCAACAACTAGTCGCAGAAGGCTCACAAGGTGGATTGACCGATTAATGCAATGCATTTCAGTTTCGATATCAAACCTTTGGTGGGAAAAACATGGAACTGTATGTCGCAAATTATTGTTGGATTAGCTTTACCCCCAGAGTACGACAAGGAAGACTTTGTGGAGCCAATTTCGTTGCTCAGTTCGAATCTTGAAATGGTTGACAGCTCTCGTCCTAAATAGTTTAGGCAAAAAGAACGCGCACCAAACCATGCCTGCAGAAAAAGAAAGAACGCAAATAAGGCAAATGAAAGCTCAATCGAAATTCAAAGATTCCGGAGAACACAAAAGCAGTCGAACAGAAAAAAAATCACTCGCTTGCCTAAGCTTCTGCCCGGAAAAAAATGATAAATCTCATTCTAACTATAATTAAAATCGCAACCAATCACACATGAGAAGCCGTAACAACTATAAGAGTTTCAAAGGAGCATTCCAGCTCAAAAGCGCGAGAAAATTAAAAATTAGGGCAAAAAAATAACAAAAAAAAACAAACAAGAAAATCGTACAAAGACATTAGCGAAAGGAGATGACCGGGTGAATCAGACAGAGATGCGAGCCACGATAAGATCATACGAGAGGTTAGCCTCATCCAACACAACAACAACAACAAATAAGCATTTAGAATCGAGCAAAACAATTCAAACGGAAATCCAAGCTATAAAACGTTTAATCAGAAATACTAGCAGCAACTACGAATCATGAATTAGAAAGCCAGACGAAAATGACAATTGAGTTGAACGAGTTATATGAGTACTCTGTAAGCAGAGTATATCCAACACAAAGTACAGTTCAAGAAGCAGCGCCCAGTGGAGATCTATCAATAATGACGAAGCCAAACAACAACTCGAAATCAGTCATGAGATGATAACAGCAAACATAGTTTTTGAGTGAAAAAAGCACCGGAACAGAAATTGAAAAAAAAAAACACGCAGCTCTTTGCACAAAGTTTTATTCTACAATAAAACTTTGTGCAAAATTGGGACTGATTTTTATAGCAGAAGCAACCCGAAGGGACTGAAAATATATTTTGGTCCGCAATAGATCGGGAGGCACTATAAAGCGCATATGAAGCATATTGGTACATCTCACGGATCAACTTCATGTGAGGGAGGACTGCCTACTAAACAACTCAAAAGTAGTACTAACCACAAAACTGCACGAGACTGTGCTCGATGGCGTTCACATGATGAATCTAGGATCAGTCATTTTGCTTAACCTATGCGATCTCATCCTGTTTCTTCACATTCGTCGGTTTTTAGTATCGATTGTCCAGAATTGTTCTCATTGCATAGAGCAAAGTATAATAAGTACCGGGGCTCCAAAAATTTAAGTTGCAATCAAGCGCAGACTTTCCGAGCTGAATGCTTAAAAATACTATGAGTAATTCAAAGTGGACTATCAAAATATCAACTTTTGAGGCCCACAATGGACGAAAAACAAACAGAACATCTTTTAACATAGCAACAACAAGCTCACCAAACAGCTTTTTTTGGAAAATTGTAAACAATCCAAATTTAGATGCACCCACCATTTCAAGCGGGCGGATGTAATGCATAAACTACAAAGATGGTCCCAACACGAAACTGTGAAAAAGAGACGAACAGCGGAAAAATCACAGAAATGACCAATACAGCCACAACACCAGCCACTACGACACAAACAGGTGTGAAACCCCTACAAAAGGACATCTGTTAAACCTAGACAAGCTTCAACTAAAGAACACTAATCATCAAACGTAAATACGAAAGAGTACAATCAAAGGTAGATAAAGTTGTAGGGAAGTTGATGAAGCGAGTATCAAGAAAAACAGTACACATTGCAAGGAAAGTGAAAAAAAAAGGAAAAAACAACAGAAGAAAAAATTTAACAGACACTCCTCATACAGCTTGCTGACAGGCATTGGATAACAATCCACGGCTTCTAAGTAATAGCGAATTTCTTTTTGTTCACAGCCCGGAAATCTACAAACCAAGCAGGCTTTCGCGGATAAGCAATTATGTTGCGTATAAACCCGCAAGAAGAACAGGATCATGTTTGCGTTTATTAGACGTCGAGCAGCCGCACGCGCTCAGAAACGCGATATTCAAAAATATGATATATGAAGCTTTCCAAAGAAGCTGACCCAAAAAGAACAAACTGAATAGCTAGATTGCTCGAAAAGAGGAAATCTAAAGTGGCGCCAACTTGAAAAAGAACAAGAGGAAAACCAAATGCAAAGACGCCGTCAAGGGGAATGCAAATCCGCTTGAAAACCCCGCTTCCCAAAAATTCACCGAAAGTACAATTAGACTCGAAACCAACAGTTATTTCAAGTGGAGACTGGGTTTCAACCTCCGAAAACACGGCACCATCACTGAAACAGATGGAGACAAGGAAAACACCACCTCAAATGTCACTCAAAGCCACAGTATCACTCGAATTTCACTCAAAAATTGCAGGAGTGCTAGAAAATTGCATGAGTGCCCTTGCAGGAGCGCTAGAAAACCCAGTTCCAATCAATGCATTCGAAACGAAGCCGACAACGCAACCATTAAAAACGGTTCGGAGTTGACTCACCTACCGAAAAGCAAGGAGGAAATTCAAATATAAAAATGCCTTATCTACAAAATGGGTTAAAAAAGCCTAATCTACAAAATGCGAAAAATCACCGGAAATTAAGCGTGAGTAAAACTCTTTGAGGCTATATAACCAAAACTGGCAGCAGAAAAGTAGACGTGTTCAATTTATTTTCGCCTTTTACTAGTCGTAAAATAAGAGTGCTCTTGGTAATAGACGCAGAAAACAAACAAGCCACGAAAAATGAAGAAACAAAAGCAGAAACAGGACAACACCATGCAAGCGAAGAACAATAATCAGGAAAATCAAGAAGAAGATGACGAGTTGGAAAATCAGGGAGAACTTGGAAAAGAATTTCCGAACAAGGGGGATGAGAACAACTTTTAGAGCAAGATTTTTTGACAACTAAACTGAGACGCTAACGTGGTCTTCAAAAAATCTTATCCTGGGGGACTTTATTTTTCAAATTTGTTCCAAGGGGTCATGATTAAAAGCTACTGCTCTCAGTCAATTGGAACAAGCAGATATCGTTCACCTGTCTCTACGCATGCGTGAGTAATCAGTTTACCAATCCATTCGGATTATAGAATATAGATTCTCATACCTTACCTTTTGGCATGATAGAAACACAATCAATATATTCTAATTATAAAAACTACTATAATTATAATTATTACTATTTTTGTAAGGATGCGTATAGACATGGCTCAACAAAACCAAAAACTAAATTTTATTCTTGCCAGGGGCGGATTCAGGTTAGGGATGGGGGAGGGGTGGCGGACGCTCTCTTTGGCCAAGCGACTTCTTCCAAAAAGTGACCAAAAATGTCATTTTGACCTGTTTTTTTTTCCTGCGACGGAAAACAGTTTGTGAAAATAGGATCTTTGTACTGTTCTGCGAGCGCTCGGAAAATCAATTTAGTCGACCTATAAAAAGTCGGCAAAAGGTTCCAAAATGATTACAACCCCCCCCCCCCCCCTCACTTGAGAAAACTCTAGATCCACCCCTGTTCTCTGCTATATGGTTTTTTTCTATCAAAAACTAAATCGTACGAGCTAATTGCTTAGAGCTGTTGGATAATACAGTTTGCCTAGGAGACCATTTCGTGCCAGGAAGATAACGTGCCATGTCGAAGTTATCACTGCAAACACGGAGTAGATCAAACTTGTGAAATAAAATCCTAAGTGCTCATTCAAGAATCCACCGAAAACAGAAGCTCCTAAAATTCTCCCGGATGACATAACAATAATGAAACTCATGGATCCAAATGTTCGTACTTGGTCAATACTTTGTGCTCCGCGTTTTATTGCAATTGTTTGAATTAGGAGGTAACAAGGGTTGACAAGCGCATCCATCGATAGCCCGTTTACTACTAAAATAAGAACCGCCCAAGCCGTTGTTTCGAGTTTGGGTAAGAAGTATGGCAGGAACATCGCAAATGCAGTCAGAGTTGTGACTATCTGCGAAAAGAGTACTGCCCCAATTCCCCATCCCTGGTCAACCAGAATAGCAACGACAGCACCTGCCAAAATTAGAGTTTATGATTTGCATTAGTTTTTTTCTAACAACAAATTTTTATTTTTTCATTCAGTAAATTCCGGCCTTTTTCAGTAAATTTGAACTTCATTTTTCCACGCAAAAATGCGTCGAATGGGCTAAAAGGAGAAATTATATTCCAGCCTTTAAATTTGTAATTCGATCTGCATCTGCAAAATCGATCAATCGGTTCAGCAGGGTTGTGAGAAAAGTCTCATTTTTCAATTATTTATTGATCCGACGTTCGAAGAAAATTCTAACTTTTTATGCTTGGGGTGTTTTTTTTATTATTTAGTCAATTGCTGACTTTTTAACTCAGCGTTTTTAACAGAATGTTTCTATACCATCTCAAAAAAAATTGTTGTCTTAGCTCAATTATTATAAAATATTTCAGCTTTGATCAATTTTTCGGAAAATTAAAGTAGTTTAAACACTGATAAATTGGCCAATTTGGGGTAATTAACCACTAACAATTTACGTTCTTGTAACACGTGTGAGCGGCGGTTCAATAATACATCTCTTTGCTTTTGACCTTAGCGTGTGAGGGAAAAAATAGGAACAACATTTTTTTCGAACTTTTGTTGAAAGTAGGAACAATCAAATATTGAAAATTGAGACTTTTCTTTCAATTATTCAATTATGCATGCTCTTACAGCACGCGTAAGCGGCGGTTAAATATGTTTCACTTGGAGCTGAGACATTTCAACTGGTCGTGTTAATAGGATTAAATATAGGGTTAGTAGTGTTAAATACATCCCTTCGTGGAATAAATTAAAGAAAAGATGGAAAAAAAATTGTCACTTTTTTCAAACAAAAATTGTTTAATTGTCCTTAATGTAGAGTCGGACATTCAGGGCTTTGCCCTGATATCTGATATTTGAGCATTTTTTTATTTTAGCTAGCTAGTCCAGGGTCAGTCAGATCAATTTCAGGCAAATAAGAAAACCAAAACAAGACTCATCATATTGATCCGACGAGAAATTTTAATTGATCTGAAAACCATTAAAAGTATCTAAATCATTTTTCGAAAACCTTGTTAACAAATTGTACAATTGTACAGTTCATTTCATTTTTTTTTCAAACACTCACTGCACATGCTATGCCTAGTACAAAAATGAGTTCTTAGCGTCTATTGAAATTTTATTTACAACACGCAAGTAGTTTGCCTCAATGGTCAGTCAGATCAATTTCAAGCATATAAGAAAACTAAAGATTTGAACAAGACTCACTATATTAGGGTGAAATCTTAGTTGATCCGACAACCCTTAAATGTATTTATATCAGTTTTCAAAAACCTTGTTAAATTGTACAGTTTTTTCAAAATTAAAAATTGAGTTCATTTCGGTTTTTTTTTCAAACACTCACTGCACATGCTATGCCGAGTACAAAAATATGTTCTTAGCGTCTATTACAATATTATTTACGACACGCAAGTAGGTTGCCTCAATTCAATTTTCAGCCAGTTATCAGCAGATTTTATGTTACATGATAAATGAAAAATTTCAGGCATCATAAATTTATTCAGGCACAGAATACACAAAGAAAAATAACCTCAATCTGCTAGATATTGAATAATCAGGTGTTTCCGATTCAAAAACAATGATTTTTTGTAACTAAACCTTCTTTAATTTCGTAAAAGGACTCAGAAGTCATTCAACATGATATATTTCAAAAACTAAAGATTTGCCGCCCCAAAAATTGTCAAACGGAACTGGGAATCTATGCTCAAGTTTAATTAAATGCCAAACTGTTGGCATTTTTGATTACCTTGAGCAGTTTAATTGTTCAAAAATTCTTGCATTTTAGGTTGTTTAGTTTTTCGACGACGGTTTTTAAATGTGTAGAAATCAACATCATGTGTAGTCATTCAACATGAAATAATTCAAAAACTGAAGATTTGTTGCTCAAAAAATTGTCAAACGGATATGGGAATGTATGCTCAAAATTAATTTAATTCCGAACGGTTGGCATACTGGTTACCTTGAGCAGTTTAATTGGTCAAATATTCTTGCATTTTAGGTTCAGTTTTTTGACGACGGTTTTCAAATGTGTAGAAATCAAAGATTTTCTTTCAGTTATTCAATTATGCATGCTCTTAGAGCACGCGTAAGCAGAATTTAAATACGTTTCACATTGAGCTGAGTCATTTCAATTTGTCATATTATTAGGATAGAAGGCGCTAAATACATCCCTTTAAGGGATAAACAAAAGAAAAAAAATGGAAATTTTTTTTGTCATTTTTTAAAATAAAAGTTGTTCAATTGTTGTTAAAGTAGAGGCAGATATTCAGGGATTTGCCCAGATATCCGATATGTGAGCAGTTTTTTATTTTATCTAGATACTCCATGGTCAGTCAGATCAATTTCAAGCAAATAAGAAATTTAAAAATATAAACAAGACTCACCATATTAGGGCGAAATCTTAAGTGATCCGACAACCGTTAAATTTACTTAAATCAGTTTTCAAAAATCTTGTTAACAAATTGTAAAAAATTTTCAAAGTTAAAAAAACATGAGATCATGTCAGTTTTTTTTAAAACACTCACTGCACACGCTATGCCGAGTACCAAAATATGTTCTTGGCGTCTATTGAAATTTTATTTACGACACGCAAGTAAATTGCCTCAACGGTCAGTCAGATCAATTTTAAGCAAATAACAAAACTAAAGATTTGAACAAGACTCACTATATTGAGGTGAAATCCTAATTGACTCAAATTTTTAACTCAGCGTTTTTAACAGAATGTTTCTTTACCATCTCAAAAAAAAATTGTTGTCTTAGCTCAATTATTATAAAATATTTCAGCTTTGATAAATGTTTCGGAAAATTAAAGTACTTTAAACACTGATAAATTGGTTAGTTTGGGGTAATTAACCAGCAACAATTTACGTTTTTGTAACTTGAGTGAGCGGTGGTTCAATAATACATCTCTTTGCTTTTGATCTTAGCGTGTGAGGGAAAAATAGGAACAATAATTTTTCGAATTTTTTTGAAAGTAGGAACAATCAATTATTGAAAACTGAGACTTTTCTTTCAATTATTCAATTATGCATGCTCTTACAGCACGCGTAAGTGGCGGTTAAATATGTTTCACTTGAAGCCGAGACATTTCAATTTGTTGTGTAAATAGGATAGAGGACGCTAAATACATCCCTTTAAGGGATAAACAAAAGAAAAAATGGAAACTTTTTGTGTCATTTTTTTAAACAAAAGTTGTTTAATTGTCGTTAAAGTAGAGTCGAACAATCAGGGATTTGCCCAGATATCTGATACATGAGCAGTTTTTTATTTTATTTGGATATTCCATGGTCAGTCAGATCAATTTCAAGCAAATAAAAAATATAAAAATATAAACAATACTCACTATATTAGGGTGAAATCTTAATTGATCCGACAAATTTTTATGTATTTACATCAATTTTTAAAAACCTTGTGAAAAAATTGTACAATTTTTTCAAGATTAAAAGTAATGAGTTCATTTCGGTTTCTTTTTTTTTCAAACACTCACTGCACACGCTAAGCCGAGTACAAAAATATGTCTTAGCATCTAGTAAAATATTTTTTACGACACGCAAGTAGTTTGCCTCAATGGTCAGTCAGATCATTTTGAAGCAAACAACAAAACTAAAGATTTGAACAAGACTCACTATATTGAGGTGAAATCCTAATTGATCCGACAACCCTTAAAAGTATTTACATCAGTTTTCGAAAACCTTGTTAACAAATTGTACAATTTTTTTTGAAATTGAAAAAATGAGTCCTATTCAATTTTTTTAAACACTCACTGCACATGCTATGCCGAGTACTAAAAATAGGTTCTTAGCGTCTATTAAAATATTTTTTACGACACGCAAGTAGTTTGCCTCAATTCAACTTTAAGCCAGTTATCAGCAGGTTTTATGTTACATGATAAATGAAAACTTTTAGGCATCATAAATTTATTCCGGCACAGAAAACACATAAAAAACATCAACCTGTTATATATTAAATAATCAATTGTTTCCGAATCAAAAATAAAGATTTTTTGTAACTGTACCTTCTTTAATTTCCGTAAAAAGACTCAGAAGTCATTCAACATGAAATATTTCAAAAACTAAAGATTTGCCGCCCCAAAAATTTTCAAACAAAATGGTAATCAATGCTCAAAATTAATTTAATGCCAAACTGATTACCTTGAGCAGTTTAATTGTTCAAAAACTCTTGCAATTCAGGTTGTTTAGTTTTTTGACGACGGTTTTTAAATGTGTAGAAATCAACATCACGTGTCGTCATTCAACATGAAGTATTTCAAAAACTGAAATTTTGTCGCTCAAAAAATTGTTAAACGGAAATAGGAATCTATGCTCAAATTTAATTTTGTGCCAAACTCTTGGTAATACTGATTATTTTGAGCAATTTAATTGGTCAAATACTATTGCATTTTAGCGTGTTTACTTTTTTGACGACGGTTTTTAAATGTGTAGAAATCAAAGACTTTTCTTTCAATTATTCAATTATGCAGGCTCTTTGAGCACGCGTAAGCAGCGTTTAAATACGTTTCACATTGAGCTGAGGCATTTCAATTGTCGTATTATTAGGAGAGAAGACGCTAAATACATCCCTTTAGGGGATAAACCAAAGAAAATTATGGAAAATTTGTAGTCTCTTTTATCAAACAAAAGTTGTTTAATTGTCCCTAAAACAGAGACGGACATTCTGAGCTTTGCCCAGATATCTGATATGTGAGCAGTTGTTTATTTTAGCTAGCTACTCCATGAATATTCAGATCATTTTCAAGCAAATAAAAAAACTAAAAATTTAAAAAAGACTCACCATATAGGTTGAAACCATAATTGATCGACAACCGTTAAATGTATATAAATCAGTTTCCAAAAACCTTGTGAAAAAATTGTACAATTTTTTCAAAATTAAAAAATGAGTTCATTTCGGTTACTTTTTTTCAAACAGTCACTGCACACACTATACCGAGTACAAAAATATGTTCTTAGCGTCTATTACAATATTTTTTACGACACGCAAGTAGTTTGCCTCAATGGACAGTCAGATCAATTTCAAGCAAATAAGAAAACTAAAAATTTAAACAAGAATCAACATATTAAGGTGAAGTTGTTATTGATCCGACAACCGTTAAAGGTATTTAAATCAGTTTTCGAAAATCTTGTTAACAAATTGTACAATATTTTCAAAGTTAAAAAAACATGAGTTCATGTCAGTTTTTTTTAAACACTCACTGCACACGCTATGCCGAGTACAAAAATATGTTCTTGGCGTCTATTGAAATTTTATTTACGACACGCAATTAAATTGCCTCAACGGTCAATCAGATCAATTTCAAGCAAATAACAAAACTAAAGATTTGAACAAGACTCACTATATTGAGGTGAAATCCTAATTGACTCAAATTTTTAATTCAGCCTTTTAACAGAATGTTTCTTTACCATCTCAAAAAAAAATTGTTGTCTTAGCTCAATTATTATAAAATATTTCAGCTTTGAGAAATTTTTCGGAAAATTAAAGTAGTTTAAACACTGATAAATTGGCCAGTTTGGGGTAATTAACCAGCAACAATTTACGTTCTTGTAACACGAGTGAGCGGTGGTTCAATAATACATCTCTTTGCTTTTGATCTTAGCGTGTGGGGGAAAAACTAGGAACAAACATTTTTCGAACTTTTTTTGAAAGTAGGAACAATCAATTATTGAAAATTGAGACTTTTCTTTCAATTATTCAATTATGCATGCTCTTACAGCACGCGTAAGCGGCGGTTAAATATGTTTCACTTGGAGCCGAGACATTTCAATTTGTTGTGTTAATAGGATAGAAGACACTAAATACATCCCTTTAAGGGATAAACAAAAGAAAAAAAATGGAAACTATTTGTGTCATTTTTTTAAACAAAAGTTGTTTAATTGTCCTTAAAACAGAGCCGGACATTCTGAGCTTTGCCCAGATATCTGATATGTGAGCAGTTGTTTATTTTAGCTAGCTTCTCCATGAATATTCAGATCATTTTCAAGCAAATAAAAAAACTAAAAATTTAAAAAAGACTCACCATATAGGTTGAAACCTTAATTGATCGACAACCGTTAAATGTATAAAAATCAGTTTTCGAAAACCGTGTGAAAAAATTGTACAATTTTTTCAAAGTTAAATAATGAGTTCATTTCGGTTACTTTTTTTCAATCAGTCACTGCACACACTATACCGAGTACAAAAATATGTTCTTAGCATCTAGTAAAATATTTTTTACGACACGCAAGTAGTTTGCCTCAATGGACAGTCAGATCAATTTCAAGCATATAAGAAAAGTAAAGATTTAAACAAGAATCAACATATTAAGGTGAAGTTTTTATTGATCCGACAACCGTTAAAGGTATTTAAATCAGTTTTCGAAAACCTTGTTAAAATTGTACAATATTTTCAAAATTAAAACAAGGAATCATTTCGGTTTTTTTTCAAGCACTCACCGCATATGCTATGCCGAGTACAAAAAACACAAAAATTTGTTCTAAGTGTCTTGTAAAAAATCATTTACGACACCCAAGTAGTTTGCCTCAATGGACAGTCAGATCAGTTTCAAGCAAATAAGAAAAATAAAAATTTAAAAAAGACTCACCCTATTAGGGTGAAACCTTAAATGATCGACAACCATTAAATGTAATTATATCAGTTTTCGAAAACCTTGTTAAAAAATTTACACAACTCTTTCAAAATTAAAAAAATGAGTTCAAATTGGTTTTTTTTTTCAAACACTCACTGCACATGCTATGCCGAGTACAAAAATATGTTCTTAGCGTCTATTAAAATATTATTTACGACACGCAGTTAGTTTGCCTCAAATCTATTTTAAGCCAGTTATCAGCAGATTTTATGGTACAAAATTATGTTCTTAGCGTCTAGGAAAATATTATTTACGACACGCAAGTAGTTTCCCTCAATTCAAGTTATCAGCAGATTTTATGTTAAAATAGAAATGAAAAATTTTATGCATCATAAATTTATTCCGGCACAGAATAGACATAAAAAATTATCAATCTACTACATATGAATAATCAGTTGTTTCCGATTCAAAAGTAATGTTTTTTGTAACTTTACCTTTTTATTTTCCGTAAAAAGACTCAGAAGTCATTCAACATGAAATATTTCAAAAACTGAAGATTTTTCGCTCCAAAAATTGTCTAACGGAAACGGGAATCTATGCTCAAGTTTAATTTAATGCCAAACTGTAGGCAATACTGATTATCTTGAGCATTTTAATTGGTCAAATACTATTGCATTTTAGGTTGTTTAGTTTTTTGTCGACGGTTTTTAACTGTGTGGAAATCAACATCATGTAGAGTCGTTTAACATAAAAAATTTCAAAAAACTGAAATTTTGTCGCTCAAAAAATTGTTAAACGGAAATAGGAATCTATGCTCAAATTTAATTTTGTGCCAAACTCTTGGTAATACTGATTACCTTGAGCAGTTTAATTGGTCAAATACTATTGCATTTTAGAGTGTTTGTTTTTTTGACGACGGTTTTTAAATGTGTAGAAATCATTTTTTGCCTTATTTCAAGATAACATCTGAAAAAAAAATTTCCATTCAACAAAAATATGCCATAAAATTTTCCAGACAAAAATGCAGAAAACGCCGACAAAATGTCCAGCGCAAATTTTCACAGAGCTATTTTGAATAAGTTATATTTATGGAGTCAGATTTATTTCAAAAACTGAAACGTTGTCCAATAAATTTGTGAAAATATATATAACTCTTTTCAAGGCGTTGAACGAAGATAACTTTCATTTGAAATGTTAGTGTCGTTCAAAAAACCTTTTCGTTACCAGCTTTTAATGGTATTAAACTGACACTTACCTGCGGTTGCTTCGGCGATGGCACTGGGCACGAACACAAATCCCATACTGTGCAAGTCAATTCCAATGGCCTCGTGAAAGTGAAGCGAGTAAGCTGCATCTCGGAAGCCCGACATAAAAAACACGACAACCGAAGGAACTATGACACTCATTGCTGAAGAAGTTCCAAGAAACTTCAAAAAGTCGCCTGACTGTTTGTTTTTGTCTTTTTCTGTTGAATTTTCATCTGGAGGAAAAACGAAATAGGCAATTAATGAAAACAAAGCTTCGGTTACTCCTGCAAATAAAAAAGGAGCTGAGTATCCTCCCACAGGAATCAGGACGCTTCCTACAATAGGTCCCGAAAACATGCCAAGACCGAAACAGGTCTGAATAATGCCGGCCATAAGTCCAGCTTTTTCAGGAAAGCACTTCACAGGAATCGGATTCAACATTGCGTATGTCATAGCAACACCAGCGCCGTTAATGGCTCTTGTAATCACACATAAGAAAAAGTAAAGCCCAGAGCCGGGCATGAAATTCAAGAGCCCGAAACTTGCTATTGTTAGTGAGCACAGCAAAGTGCCCGTGATTGAGACGAATTTGACGTTAGCTGGATTTGTGAGGCTGCCAACTAAAAATGAACAGAAGAGGCAAGATACGTCCAGCGATCCAGCTACAACTCCAATCTGTGACTGTGTCAGGCCTAAATAGAAATATCAATGAAATAGCCATAATATTTGTACTTTTATTGCAGAATAAGAATCTAAAAAACCAGTTGTTACTCTCAGTGATTGTTTATTATTTTTTCCTTTTCTTGGGCAGGGTTTTTTTCTAAACTGGATCCTTAAAAAGGCTGTTTTTTTTTGTTTAAGTTCAAGTATGATATAGGTATATATATGTGATCAATTTTGTACCATTTTCATCGTTTTAGCAGCCAATTTTTAAATTTTTGGAGAGAAAATTGACGCAAAACGTCTACCTAAATGCCTAATTTCGGTTCTAAGATCAGCGTTGGATTTAGGGGGCGGGGGTATTTTTTTCCTTCTGCTCAAGAAGTCGACCTTTTTCACCCAAAGTTACAATTTTACATCATCCATTTTTGGTCGGCTAACCATGAAATTTTATCGCGATTCTTTCCCAAATTATACCGCGATTAAATTTAGGACTTCATCCGCGCCTATAAAATTTAAGACTTCATCCGCGCCTATAAAATTTAAGACTTCATCGGCGCCTATAAAAGCCTGTACAGACTATGAGCTTTCCGTCGCAGAATTAACATCGGCTAAAATTTGATAGTCTGAAAGTCAGTCGCGGTTTTTCGAGCCGGGCTAGAAAATGTTTACCGTTTCAGTTTCAGATTTGGGTTCATCTCTGAAGAACGATTCAGGTAAAGCTTTTTTCTTGACTCAGTTTCAAAGTTTTTTTTGGGTTCATCTCTGAAGAACGATTCAGGTAAAGCTTTTTTCTTGACTCAGTTTCAAAGTCTTTTTGGGTTCATCTCTGAAGAACGATTCAGGTAAAGCTTTTTTCTTGACTCAGTTTCAAAGTCTTGTTTCAGTATTTTATGTAAATCTCAATTTATGACAAGAAAATAAATATTTTAAAGTTCAAGTAAAATTTAATTAAATTACTTTAAAATTGGACAGCTAGGCAAAATACGAATAAAAAAACTCTCTACCGTGATTTTTGCCATCTGGAGGAAAAAAGGGACCAGGAAGCGACATACAGGCGCCCTCCAAGATAGCCAATGCAGCCACCACTGCGACAACTGCCATCCTTCTCAGCTGCGAAAAATCATTCCTTCTCTCCTCATTTTCGGGACAATTCAACGGCTGTTTTTCTTCAACTTGTGCCGAAATTTCATCACTCCCGTTATGTAGTTCACTCAGAAATAGTTCTTCAGCCATAGTGGGGTCGAGAATTTCTTCAAAATCTTCTCAATCAAGCAAAAATGAGCTTAGCAAGAAAATTATTATACAGAGGTAAACAAAAACTGTCCATATTGTCAAAAGTAGTAGAAAATAATTGCTTCCCGCTTTTGAAAAAATTCGATTTTTAAGAGGTCGAGGTAGTTTAAACGGGTCAATACGGGTGGTCGTCCGACTCTAAGAACGTTCCAGTAGCTCAGACCCAGAAGAATCTAACAAAGTTGTGTTAGTATTGACTTTTTTAAATGCTGATATTTAAGTTCAATCTATTCTGGTGAATATTACTACTACACAGTACAAAATCTTCTCAAAAGTAATAAAATAGATGCGTGTTAGAACAAAATTATGCGAACTATCAAAAAAAGAGAGCAATTTGTCTTATAATTTGAATATCTTTCGATGTGTCTCCAAACTTCTTGAGATGACACTGATTCGGAGTGTATTGAAGATAACATATGCATTGGACAGGCTTAAATATCAAATCTGACAGTTCAATGAAATTATGAATAATAGTCTTTCGAAGAAAGCCAAAGAAGCCACGTATACTTCAAATCTATCGAATTTGGAAAACAGAGAATTTAATAACATATGACCCATGAAATTCATGCTCATGGCAGAAATCTTTTTCTTTCGCGGCATTTATGAGTGCCAAATAGAGACCACAAGTTGCCTCTTTTTCAACTTCCTCTGTGTTCCCTTTTTATAATTTTTTTTGCACTGTTTTTTGGCTAACTGCATGATTTTCTGTTATAAGGTACGAAGAGCAAATGTGTTAAGAATACTTTTGCTCTTCAAACCTATTCATGCCGGGCTTAGGTGTTCGAGTTATATGTTTTTGCTCGAACTAAGACAGGTGGACATTAACCTTGCGTTTCTAAGTATAGTTGATCTTTTTTTTGTAAAGAGAAATTTCATTTTAGGTTTTCATAAACCAGTAAGTATAACCAAAAAAATCAGCTAACCGACTGTTTACATTTACAAAAAAATGACAAGCTACTGTGCTTGATGTGTTTTTTTTTTCACCAAAAAATTTCAACAATGGACTAGATATTTTGACGGAGGTTTTCAAAGTTTGAAGAATTATTTGTTCTCTGGCAGCTTTTGTTATAACAATTTTTGTCGTTAATCAAAAATCAAAAAAGTTTCAGCGTTACAAAGTTTTTGTTCCAGGTAAATTGTACCTATGTTTTGCCGTTTAACCCTCAAGTTAATAACCGAAGTTGTATTTAATTGGTTTATTTTTTATTGCGGTGAAATTTTTTTATTGCTACCTCAAAAAGTCTATATATTTCTTTGACACCTCACTGTGCAAGCCTTTCTGTTAAGAGTCCTGTATACAATTCGCCTGTAGTATAAAAGTTAAGATAGACTGCGCTATACAGTTTTAAAATACAGGATTTTATGCTAGTTGCATCTGCTTTATTCATTTGCAAGCAAAAAATCAGACAAAAGTCCGAGCTCAAAGTTTGTATCAACTTGTACTATTTGAGACATTGCGTTCAATCTTTTTCCAACTTCTGTTTTGGTTTTTTTCGATATACTTTTCTACTATTTTTTCGAAATTGTGTTCAATCTCGACTATGTTCGACTATGTTCCGACTATGTACATAACATGTTCAATAACATTTCGATTTTTTTTGTGTTTCACAGCGTGATTGAGTATGTTGCAATATCCAATTGTTGCTCGACAATATTGCACTAGTGTTTCAAATATTCCACTAATGTTTCAAATATTGCACTAAAGTTTCAAAATGGAACAAAAACATACTTCATGTGTTTTATTCGTGAATATTTCACTTCTGCGTAATTCGATATCTGAAGACTTTGAAATGTCGCACTAGTTTTTCAAATAATCCTCATGTATTCCAAATTTTCACTAGTAATTCAAGTATTGCACTTACATTGTAAGCTTTGCACTAGTATTTCAAATATTGCAATAGTGTTTCAAAATTGCTTTAATGTCTCAAATGCTCATCTTGTGTTTCAAATATTGCACTAGTGCTTGAAAAATTGCACTAGTGATTGAAATATTGCACTAGCGTTTCAAATATTTCACTAGTGTTTCAAAAATGGAACACAAACATACTGCATGTGTTGCTTTCTTGAAAATTTGACTTCTACGTAATTCGATATCTGAAAACTTCGAAACTTCTTTTTTATGTACACTAGCGGACAAAATAAAACGCAAATTCAGATTTTTACTCTCTAAAATGCCTGTTTTCAATGTCCATTTTTGACAATTTTCACTTCAGTTTTCAAGAGCATTTGATTAGAGCTACTGTCTCTGAAAATATCATCATTTGCTTTCAAAGACTTACTAATGTAACCCGGATCTGAAAATGCCAGTTTTCTTCATCTCCACTAAATTTTGCATTGTACTGAACACTTTCATGAATGAGCGGTTTTAAAAAAAATTGACTCTGAAAATTTCATCATCTGCTTTCAAAGTCTTACCAATGTAACCCGGGTCTGAAAATACCATTTTTCTTCATCAATTTTTGCGTCGTACTGAAGTATTTCTTGAATGAACGGTTTTAAAAAGGTTGTTCATGCGACTTGAAACCTTCTCAGCGAGAAACTGGAAATAATCAGCATTAAAATTTTACTAAACTCGGGCGTTTCTTACTTTCTCACGCGAAGTAAGAAAATTTGAGGAAGTGCAGATAAGGAAAACTGGCAATTTCAGACCCGGCTGTGAGTCACGGTGAAACAAACATTGGTGAGTCACGGAAACCAAATATTGATAGTTTTGTAGAGGGCAGCAAAACTATCAAAATGTTGTCGAAAAACAAAATGTTGTCCAAAAAGGTCGTTAAAAACAGACATTTTAGAGACTAAAAACCTGAATTTGCGCTTAATTTTGTCCACTAGTGTATAAAGCTTTCACTGTCATATTGGAGTAACGGGTTTCAATACGCAACTCATTTGAAAAACAAACCGATTTGTACCGGTTCCCTATTTAGAAAAAAAAATTGAAATTGAAGTTGAAACAAACAAGCGCCATTCTTTCCACTTTTCTCAGTAATCAATTGGGCAAAAATGGTTGAGTTTGCGGAAATAGACGAGGAATTCAGAAAAGTGTTCTCTCACGAGGAGCTGGAGGAGTTCTGGAAGGAGTTTGTCATGTTCGATAAGAACGGAAACGGAAGGATCGACGCCGAAGAGTTGGGTTTGGTGATGGAGGAAATGGGTATGAGACTCAGCAAGGAACAAGTAGAGGTGAATTAATACTTTATAGTATTCGTCCACTAGCCCGCTTCTCCCGGTCGGTAAATTTTCGGCTCTTTTCCAGTCCCCCCTTTCAAAATTCCGAGTTTTATGTATGTTTTACATGTTATTACGACTAAATGCGTGATGTTACGCTGTAAAGTATGAAGAACAAATCTGTTCACAGTTGTCGATTTGTTCACTACGCCAAATTTTATTGCACTATGATAACGTTAAATAGGCTTTTTAAAATTGAATTTGAAAGGGGGGAACTGGAAAAGAGCCAAATTTTCGATTATAAGAAAAGAACTTCCAAGTGGTACAGTGCAGATATGAATTATTCGAACAAAACGCATTAAATTTGAAAATTATTTCCAAAAATGAGTTCGAAAAAATCAAAGGGGGACTGGAAAAGTGCCGTAAGGTTTTCAGAAGAAACTTGCGTTTCATTATAATTAGCAAGTAGCAAAACTTTTCGCACGAGTGATAAGGCTTAACATCATTTATTTAAAATTATTTTCATTTCAACAAAAAGAAGCACAGCAATGACATGAGCTCTTCATCTAAGAGAAAATAAAAGAAGGACCAAGATGGCTCTGTTCCCTTTCCACACATTTGAATGAGCAAATGGCTCTTTTTCCTTTTCCTCCCACCTGCAATTTTTACAAGTAAGGGTGGGGGGGGGGGGGGGGAGAGAGCCGAGCAAATCTATTCGGCCAAAAAAGAGATCACGGATGGGCGTCACGAATGGGCTCGAAGGTGCTGGGTTAGGGTGATCGAATAATTCCGTTTCAATTAATGACATTTTGACATTTTGTAGTTTTTTACACGTGCTTTTTAGTGATTAATCTTATCTGGGCTCTTTTTCCTCCCCCCCACTTGCGAATTTTAATATGTTCGCAATTCGCAATAAATTTCGGAGGGACGAAAAAGAGCCCTTATCTTTTCTGCTTAGGATATTCTGAGGATAGCAGATGTTGATGGGAACGGCGAGATGGACTTCAATGAGTTCCTACACGCCATGAAGGGTTTCCACAAACCCAAGACCGACATCATCGATGTGAACAAAGTAAGATCAGTACACTGAGTTAACGAATCAATATATCATAAACACAAATCTTATGCTGTTTTCAGACATTTATTTAGACCTTGCCTGAAACCATGCGTCAAAAATTGCGCAAAAAAACGCGAAAAAAAGCTTTTTTCTTCAATACCCACCTCATATAAGCGTCAACTTGATAGGCTAACGAAAGGTTTTTCAAGGTTAAGTATGAGGCCCAGTTAATCCGCATGCCAATTTTTGTAAGACTCTGTTGTCTGTACAATGTTATCAGAAAGTTACTTTTAAAAAATTGCAGGTGGGGACGTGGTGAAGGGGAAAAGGACCCAAAAAACCACCCATTTTGAACGAGGCAAAGCTTTGAGCGTAGCAGATTTTAAGAAAATTGATCCATTCGATCAAACCTGGATTGGTGATTCTGGTAATTGGGTAAAAAATTTAGACTCGGGTGTGTCCTGTTGGGGCATATACCTTGGCTCTGAAACATGAACAATTTCATTTCAAGTGTCTTAATTAAAAATTAATGAACGTAGTTCAAACTCTTATACAAGTCGCGATGATTTTTTTTGTATTTCTAGTCAGAAAATGTTTTAAAATTTGTTCAGGCTCATATTTACTGTTTTGCGTTTAGACTTTTGATTTCTTAAGTTCGGTTCTGTTTTTTTGTTAAATTTTAGTAGACCTTATTTTTAAGAGAAATGAACGTAGTGACTATTCTCATAAAAATCTTGCTGATTTTTTCAGGAAAAAGACATAAATTTGTTCACGCTCAATTTGTGATTTTTCGCGGTTTGACTTGTGACTTCTTTTTAAAATCAGTGCAATATCATTGTTAAAAGGAAGGCAAATTTCACTATCGAACAGCAAAAGTATAATGTTCGCGCAAAATGTCATCGACTTCTAATTTCGAAAACGGAACTTGATAATCAGATTTCCCCTGTAAAAAAAACTTTAACCTATTGATCCAAATGTCTAAAATTGGAATAATTTTATAAAAAAACTGTCAATCATAAATTGTATAGAAATTCAAGTATATCTATTTTTTTTCGCGGAAACTCGAAAGTTGAGATGGGACTTTTTCAAAATACAATTCAGTGTTTTTGTTCAATGACTCTTTTTAAACTGTCTTTTAGCTATGTTTACCCTTGCAATAAGCAAGAGTGTTGCATTTGTTTTTCCCGTTAAATCTTTTTACACAAGATTTTGCAGATGTTTCATTTTGCTTCATATTAAATTCAAAATCAATAAACCACCAAGCACATCTGGTTTAGAGTTAACACACCTGCTTGAGACGACAAAACCTTGAGGTTCTTTTTACAGACAACAAAGTCTGTCGGTTTCTTTCGGCTTGTTTTCATTAGCCTGGACTCTTTTTTGAAAGTTAAGCATTCTTCTAATACCCTGAATACTCTTTCTGAAGTCCCATTGTTGGAGATAACTGAGTTACAAGATTATTTCAAAATAATTCGTCCGTTTTTTGCTCAGTTTTTTAATGTGCACTGAATTCTTAACTATACGATGATTGAGCTCGCGATTAGCTACAGTTATCAAGGCGGACTATAAGCCTATTCAATCAAGAAACTTGTCCAACCAAATCAATGAATCGTCTTCTTAAGTTTGCACTTTCGTCAACCAACTGAAACAATTTGAGTATGTCTGCATTTAAAATAACCGTTCTTTTCATTGTTTGTTGTGTTAAATGTTGGTGTTAACTTTACTAACTCCGGCTTAACATTTGTCTTTGATTTTTTTGATTTCTTGGCATCAATCTGCATCGTTGGATAAGTTGAACAATTGTCCTGAAATTGTGAGTTTTTTGAGGAGGTAACTTAAAATTTTTCTTAAAAACTTTTAACTCTTTTATGGAAACATTTTTGTGACTATTTGGTTGTCTGCTGATAAATTGTTGGCTTCAACACCACTTTGTTTCTAAGCAAAAAAACTTCTAATTTTCATAGCTCTTTATGTTTATAATTAATAAACATAGTTGGGAATCATATATAAGTCGCGATAATTTTTTTTCAAAACTCCTAATTTTGGTTCAGGCTTAAGTTTATTTTTGCAGGTTGATTTCGATTTGTTTTCAGTTCGTTCCTTTGCTTTATTAAAAAGAAGGGGCAAACGCCACAATTAATCAGCAAAACTGTACAAGTCTTGAAAAACCTGGATGATTTCTAGTTGCAAAAGTTGCAATTAATTTTCAAATTTCTCAGGAAAATAAATTTTTGTTTTATGTAAATCCAGTTTTCTCAAATTGGGTCTACTTCATCAAAAAAAATGCTCATCATAAATTATTTTTATATTTTTAAAAATTTTCAAAGCCATCTGTTTTTTTTCTGAATTTTGAAATATTTTTCAAAGTAATGAATGTATTGAAGGCTTTTATATATCTTTATATATATATATATATATATATATATATATATATATATATATATATATATATATACTCACGAAAATTTTTTAAAATGCTCTAATAATTACGGATGTCCATTCAGACACAATAATGCCTTTATAAATGCACTTAGGCATTTATGCATTTCTTGCGTTTAATTGAAATTCATCTGCTGAAAGTTACGTAAATAGCACTCTCAAGATACGAACGTGGAAATGGTGCAAAAAACGTCAACAGTTTCTAGTTTCGAAATTGGAATTTAATTTTTAGATTTCCAGCGGAACAATAACTTGACTTACTGATCCAGTTTTCTCCAGTTGGATTGTATTTATCAAAAAGTTCCGATCCTTAATTGTTCTAGAAATTCAAATAGCTTAAAGGGCATCATTTTTTTTGTTTACTTGCGATAATTACTTTTTTTCCAACTGTCGGTTGTCTATGTTTTCAAAAACAAGTCACTTTTAGTTTTTGTTTACAGGGCGTTCATTGACTCATTTCCAACTGTGTATTGGCTATGTTAGTAAATCTGTAGCTAAACTGGAATCGTTTTCTACCACTGTCTCAATTTGAAACAAAAAGCAGAAGCAAATAACGTTACTTAGAAGATAGTGTTACATGTTTCGACAAAATTATATCTAAATTACGTTGGCTGGACGCTTGACGTTTCCACAATTTATATAGCATGTTCAATTAAGATTTTTTAGCTTTTTAATATTAAAAAACCTAGTGAGTGTACTCTTATATAGTTCTTTCTGTATTTTTTGTTGTTTTTTTTTGAGATTTTTTCAAAAAAAGGCAGTGTTTTTTGTTTACTTGCGTTCATTGCTCTTTTCCAAATGTCAGTTGGCTATATTATGAAGGTGACAGCCAATCAGCAGCTTTCAGCCGTTCTTAAGTGTTAAAAAAACGGAGTGATTGTCACTTATTTTAGTCGTGATTTTTTTTGTTATGATCAGATAATTTTGTTCACGCCAAGTTCGATTTTTGGAGTATTGATATCTGAATTCTCTTTAAACTCAGTTTGATGCTGATTAAGATTTAGTTCAATTCAAACTTCAATGCTGAAAGAAAGGAAAATAACATTTTCCAAATCCGATAGTAAAAAGATTGGAAACAAAAAGGAATGAAATTATTATGACAGTGAAAATCTACCTTCGCAATAAGCAAAGAAATTGCAACCGGGTACTAAATTTTTCCACGAAAGTAACATTGTTTACAGTATGGTTCATTAAGAAAGAACTTATTAATTGTAAATTTGTTAATCTACTGTGTAAATCCTAAACTAGCTTTGGATGGTTTTCAGCTAAATGGGTGTCAGCTTCAATTTTGCTTGATTATTTGCTCTTGTTCACATTATTTTGTATTGATAAAAAAGTTTGAAATTGAGTTCGCTCTGAATTTTATAATGAAATTTTTTCGAACCCGCTTTACAAACAGTTTCATGATTTTTGTTTCTTTGCACATAAGTAAATCAGAACTTTTTTCTATACCTATTGATTGGCATGCTAAATTTGCTCTGTTTAGATAATGGAGTGGCTACGTGTGTTTGCAGACAAAGAGGGTAACATGAATTTGGAGGACGTCAGGAATCTGCTTCAATTTTTCCTCAACCATAATGCCCTAACCAATTGTCCTCCCATCATACAGTTAAAATGATTTCATAAACTGGATGAAACTTACAAGGACATGTATTTACTTAGTTATAACTTACTTATAGTGAGCAAATTAACACATTTTTACTCAGAGGTGAAGCAGAGTTTCGCAACACTTGCGATGCAACAAACACATTTCGCTACAAGATAGTAGATGAAAAAAAAAGACAGAAGTAAAAAAAGAATTAAGAAAAAGTAATTTGGAAAAATTACTTGAACAATAACTTGATAAAAAAGTTGAAAACTACAGCTACAACAAACTTCATCTTGTTATCGGATGAAGTTTATATGCAGCTTTTGAAAAAAAATGGAAATCATTTACCGAGCGGCAACAATTTGAGTCAGAACACAAAACTGTTGTCATGAAAAATTTCAAAAAATTTTGATTTTTTTTACGGCCATCCAAACTGAATTGCATACGGATATATTTTGCCGTATGTTCTCATTATTAATTTTATTATTATTTTGATCTTATTACTTTAACCGTAAAAACTCAAATTATTTATAAACAAATTTCATTAAACTACAGAGAAAAAAAACATGTTATTTATAAGTTTATTTTTCTTCATAAACAGAAAAACTTTACGCTGATCACTAAGATTTTTGAGCAATGTGATTTTACAATTTTTCTAGGTTGTGTAGCTTTTTATTTTCATAGGAAAAATTCTAAAAATTTCATCACGGTCAAAATTGATTTTTTGAAATTTGACATTTGCTAAAATAATTTCATACGCGCCGAAAAAAGCTTTTTTTTTCAAAATTTTCCAAAAAGTGCCCAAAAACGCTTGTATTTGGCGTTTTTTTTTAATTTTGCCTGAGGCGCCGAAAATTTTTGAGACCACCGAAAATTAAATTGGTTGGCCCAAAAAAAGGTCCGCAAATTTTTTAGAAAAACCACCCCCTAGAAAAATTTCTGCGCATGCCACTGCATAGAAGGTAGTTGAGATCATTTCCTCAGGATGGATGTAAAAATTTAAATGAAATTTTTCGTAAATTTTGTCAAAAATGTTCCTCGAAATAAGTCATTTTAGAGAGTGAAAACCTAAATTTGTGTTTATTTTTGTCAACTAGTGTATGAGAAACTAATGGAATTGCAAACTTAGAAAAAAAAAGGTTTGAAGTATCGTCTAAAAACTATAAACCGCAGTTGAGGAAAAGAGCGAATAACTACAGATACCATCTGACACACCTGGGCGAGTGTCCTTTAGAGGACAGGGATGTGGATGAGGTGTTTGACATGCTCGAAATAGACGCCCTCACTTGGAAGTCTGTCAGTTTAGAGTATTTGGTGAAAGAGACCATGATCTTGACCGAAAAGGTGGAAGAGTTCTTCAGCAACGAGTAGATTGTGCTCGCAGACGGCAGTCGTATTTAGACATTGAAGAATGGCAAAAAGTTCGGTCAGACTGAAATAATTAAAAAAGATTAACTGATTTTATTCAGAACATTTTCACATGCAAAAGCTAGTTTTCGAAAAAATTTCCCTAGTCGAACAAGGATGGTTATCTTGCAAGATTTTGTACGAATCTTGCAAGGAACTTTAAAAGATCAAGTATAACTTTAAAAGATTTTGCAAGAATCTTGCAAAATCTTGCAAGACAACCATAGTTTTGCAAGATTTTCAGGAAGCAATATTTTAGAGAAATTAGCAGCGCAAAGACAACCAAATAGCAATCGTGGAAGAAGCTTTGCCCCCAGAAATTTTTTTGCGTGATAGGGGGTGATATCCTTAAATTTTGATCGACTAAACGACTCTAGTTTCTAGCAAAACATTTTAAAAAATATTGGTAAGACTATAAACATCCTCTATCGGCTAGGGTTACGTCTCAAGATCCGCTAAAGTTTCGAATTTGCATGCAGTTTTTATTCTCAATCTGCTGATTGTTCTTTTAATTGTTTGACAGGCTGTCCGAAATTTTTGATGCTAATCATAGTTAATGCCAAATTGTTGGCAATTCGGTGACCCTGATTAATTATTAATTAATATATTAATTTAGGTTAATTAGTTTGTTGAGCACTGTTTGCACGTGTGGAAATCAGCGATGAACTGAAATGCGACGCCGAAATGCGGTGATCGAAAAGGAAGTTGCCAACAGTTTGGCATTAACTAGATGTCGGCTCTTCTGCTGTAACCCCCCCCCCCCCTCAACTTGTAACGATTTACTTCTTATGATTACCATGAAAGCGTTCCTCTGCATTAATTTCCCAATTTTTAACAGATTGATAATAATTTTTACCAGTTAACCCGACATTTAAACCTTAAAAATGATTCATTTATCAGATGGGGGCAAATGGTAGAGGAGGCTTTTATACTTATGAAAGCTAAATTAAACTCTTACAACTTACTAATTTCTTGATTGGATGAATTCTTAACCTCAATAACAATTTGAACTCAATTAGAAAATATTTGTTCTTTCGGAATGCTGCAACCTTACTAGTCTATCATTATCAAAACGAAAAAAAGCTCCCCTGCATTTTAAAATCACTGAATTTTAGTGCTCAAGTGCTCCCGTTTTTTTTTCTTACAGTAAAAGATATCATTCAAAACTGAGTTTTATTCAAAAAAAATGATTCCAAGTTTTTGAAAGTTCTGCCATATTTACGTAATCTGCGCTAGGTTTCCGCAATCAGGTTACTTAGAAAAAAAATAGAGAAAAAAATTGCGGCAGATTGGGTTAGATTGCGATACTAAGATCAGTCTGATTTTTCAAGAAGGGACTTATTTTTAAAAAGTGAATAAATAAACCAATCTCAGATTATGGAACATTGATCTGAATTGCGATGTTGCTTTTTGCTCAGATTCTAAAACAAATGAAACTGAATTTTAGGGATAAACATTTATATACGTATTTCAATTGAAAAAATGACCATCATCTTACAAATCACAAGATCGTTGATCCTAATTTTCTCTGAATTAGAAAGTTTTATTATTAATAAAAAAACAAAAGCCACTAGAGATAGCATTAAACACCACATGATTTAAAAAATACTTTATTAAATTGTTATTGACTGATTAGTTACCAAAGCTTCGAAACAGCATCAAGAAAAAAAATAAGCTTTGTGAGGACGTACGGTTTAAAAAAATGACAACAATAGTTGACAATCAAGTTCAAACTATTACAATAAGTTTGAAGCTTCATAAGGCAAAAGCCTTACTTTTAGAGCTTTATGAAACTCTAAATTATGCAGTTGATGATTTTGTTCAGAAGCTACAGAAAAACACATTTAGCTAACAAGCGTTCACAAGTATAAAACAATTAATTCTCAGAGAATTTATCACAGATATATAAAAAACAATAAATATTGACGAAAACGAAATAGAAAGTATCAGGTCAATCAGCAAAAAAACACAAACCGGCCGAACTGGAAAAGACTTTTTCTTCAAGAATTTTTGTGGTCAAGTTGAAGTAAAAAAGACAGGTATAAAAGATCACGATACGATTGAGTTCTACTCAGATTCTCTTTCACTTCACAAGAAGAAAAATAAAAAAAAAGGAAGTCAAACTCAGGGCAAAAGAATCGTCTGCTAGCTGTGTTTGTTACTTTTTAAAAAAGAAATAAGGATTTATTTTGGTGTAAAAGAACGAATACAATTTCAATTACATAGGTAATGATAAGTTTCTTTTCAGGAAAAAATATTAAATTATTCTTATAACTACAGAAAAACATTCATACTTGTTATTGCTTTTATGAAAACACTTAGATATACATGCACTTGTTGAGTTCGTCTCAATTTCATCTGCTCAAAGTAGGCGAAATTGCGCTCTCGAATTAGCAAAATGGCAGAAATGGCGCTGGAAAAATTGAACGAATCCTAGTTTCAAAAATCAGTTTTAAATTTTAGGTTTCTATGCGGAATAAAAATAAACCCACTGATTCAATTTTCTTAAATTAGGCTAATTTCATCAAACATGTGTCAATTAGAACGAGGGGTTTTTCATACCCAAATAGCACCTTGACTTGATATTCAAAAGTTTTAAAAAATTCAGATAATTTCAATCAAATTTTTCCGTTTCATTGTTCGTATACACTTCAAACTTTTGGTTAGGGAACTGATCTGACACAATTTTGGCAGATATTTTGAGAACACAGCAACAAACTTTTGAAAAATTTGAAAAGCCCTTTAAACTTTTTAAGAAACTTTATACATGTGAAGATGCCAAATAACCTGGAGACGCTGTAACTAAACTGTTTTTGATGGGACTTTTGAACAGTAAAAATTTAATTGGATTTGAAAACAGATTGATAGATAAAAGGAAGTCTAAACACTATCGAAAAACAATCAACTTGCTTAAAAATAAGGAAAAATAACTGCAAAAAGCTATGAAACTCTTCGATTGAGAACTTCAAGAGAAACAAACAGGTAGTAAAATAGCCGATATAAATATCGATCAATATCGTGAAGCGAAAAAATATCTGAAACTCAACTACCTACTTTCAATTATCTACAAAACAAACTTTCAACTATCTACTACAGGTCTGTAGAAATCCAGCTAAATCCAATTTAATTTTTGTAACTAAACAAAAAAATAAAAATTTGTGCCAATTGGGCTTAGCTTGTAACTAATCATTTTCCAGCTAAAACTTATTCCTAAGGTATACTTATTCAGTACTAAGAAGTTAACTTACTGTTTGTAAGAGCTTTAAAAAATTTTCGATATATAATGTGGCTCAAGTCTCAGATAAAATTAGAAGTTCCAAAACATTAGCTAGAATTTGTTTCAAATAACTTCTTAAAAAATTGCTGCAATGCAAAAAGAAAAAGTAGGTCAAACGAATTCGAGTGAATCAAACGCTACAAACTTTTAGGTTGAAAACCAACATCATTTATCCAGAACCAATAACCCTTGAAATGCCCAAAGGTTATATGGTAGGAAAATTTGTTGATCCATTTAAAATTTTGTACAAAATTGAAAATGTCAGCAGCTGCAGTTGAACAATCAAAAATGTTGAGATGAGAAATGCTTCAAACGATCCCTTGTAAAATAAGAAAACATTGGATACGCAAATATATAACAATTGCTAATGAAAATGAACAATTTACTCACATTTTGTTTTCTTGTAACCCAACGAACAAACAAGAGAGATTATGTTATATTATTTGTATGAAATTTTTGAAAAAAAAAACGTTTTCAACATAAATTTTTTTTTTAAACATTTTGATTTTTTTTGAGCTCAATGAAATTTTTGAAACAAATGAAAATGCTCTCATAAAAATGGATTATATAGTTAGGTAATGATAAGTTTATTTTCAGGGAAAAAAATTAAATTGTTCTTATAACTACAGAAAAACACTCATACTTATTATTGCATTTATGAAAACACTTTGATCTACATGCACTTGTTGAGTTCGTCTCAATTTTATCTGCTCAAAGTAGGCGAATTTGCGCTCTCGAATTAGCAAAACGGCAGAAATGGCGCCGGAAAAATTGAACGAATCCTAGTTTCAAAAATCAGTTTTAAATTTTAGGTTTCTATGCGGAATAAAAATATACCCACTGATTCAATTTTCTTAAATTAGGCTAATTTCATCAAACATGTGTCAATTAGAACAAGAGGTTTTTCATACCCAAATAGCCCCTTGATTTGATATTCAAAAGTTTTAAAAAATTCAGATAATTTCAATCAAATTTTTCCGTTTCATTGTTCGTATACACTTCAAACTTTTGGTTAGGGAACTGATCTGACACAATTTTGGCAGATATTTTGAAAACACAGCAAAAAAATTTGAAAAAATGAAAATGACTATAAACTTTTAAAAAACTTTATACATGTGAAGACGCCAAATAACCTGGAGACGCTGTCACCAAACTGTTTTTGATGGGACTTTTGAACAGTAAAACATTAATTTGATTTGAAAACAGATTGATAGATAAAAGGAAGTCTAAACAAAATCGAAAAACAATCAACTTGCTTAAAAATAAGGAAAAATAATTGCAAAAAGCACTGAAATTCTTCGATTGAGAACTTCAAGAGAAACAAACACGTAGTAAAATAGCCGATAGAAATATCGATCAATATCGTGAAGCAAAAAAATATCTGAAACTCAACTACCTACTTTCAATTATCTACAAAATAAACTTTCAACTACCTACTACAGGTCTGTAGAAATCCAGCTAAATCCAATTTAAATTTTGTAACTAAATAAAAAGCTAAAATTTGTGCCAATTGAGCTTAGCTTGTAACTAATCATTTTCCTGCTAAAACTTATTCCTAAGGTATACTTATTCAGTATTAAGAAGTTAACTTACTGTTTGTAGGAGCTTGAAAAAAAATTTTCAATATATAATGTGGCTCAAGTCTCAGATAAAATTAGAAGTTCCAAAACATTAGCTAGAATTTGTTTCAAATAACTTCTTAAAAAATTGCTGCAATGGAAAAGAGAAAAAGTAGGTCAAACAATTTCGAGTGAATCAAACGCTACAAAATTTTAGGTTGCAAAACAATTTTCATTTATCCAGAACCAATAACCCTTGAAATGCCCAAAGGTTATATGGTAGGAAAATTCGTTGATCCAATCAAAATTTTGTACAAAATTGAAAATGTCAGCAGCTGCAGTTGAACAATCAAAAATGTTGAGATGAGAAATGCTTCAAACGATCCCTTGTAAAATAAGAAAACATTGGATACGCAAATATATAACAATTGCTAATGAAAATGAACAATTTACTCACATTTTGTTTTCTTGTAATCCAACGAACAAACAAGAGAGATTATGTTATATTATTTGTATGAAATTTTTGAAAAAATAAAACGTTTTCAACATAAATTTTTAGTTTTAACATTTCGATTATTTTTTGAGCTCAATGAATTTTTTGAAACAAATGAAAATGCTCTCATAAAAAAAGAATGTTATACTTTTATAAAAACCATCCAAACCTTTTTTCAAGGATTTATCATTGCCACGAAACCTTCTGTGGAACTTAGAAAGTAACCTTTTATTTCTTTTGCAAGTCAGAATAGCCATATTTTCATACATTTTTGTTGAGTTTTTAGATTGCTTTAATCAAAAACCGAAAAATTGAAACGATACTGCAAAAAAAACTTTGTTTGTGCGAAAACGTATGCGAGTTTGATTCATAAGAATAGAGATCCTTTTTAAAAAAGACCATTTACGCGAAATTGAATATTTTGGGGTCTCAATACTACACTACACTACGACCTGAATTTCTTTGCACTTCATTTTTCTACATCAGAAAAACAGTTCGAAAAAAATATATAGCTCAGTAGGTTTTTATGCTCAGATTCAGAGTTTTTGTAGATAGAAAAATGAAATGTTTTGTTCTTATAGTCTTTTGCGGCAAGAACGCAGCAGATTTACATACCTGAGAATCCAAATTTTAACTTTGTGCTTGTTGCGAAAAACTTATGTTCCTAGAGCACATAAAAAGTATTAGTTAAAGCGTTTGCCATTAATAGTTTTTTGTGTGAATTATAATCACCACTTATAATGGATTATAGGTCACTGTAGTCACTGTAGTTATAGTTCACTGTAGAAATTATCACTATTATAATCGATTTTATATCGTTTCAGCATTTTGGTAAATATAATCAAATGCAATTCTCAAAAAAAAACATAATAATCCGTTATAAACGATTATTGAAGCCTCAATTTGAATGTGAGAAAAACAAAACAGTTGGAGTTTTTGACATTCTAAAAATTTGTTATGACACGCATTTCATGTTTTTGTGATTAAACGAATCATGTATAAAGCACCGAGATTAAACTTACTATGAAAGTTAATGTATTTTTGACTCATAGTTGACCACAATCTGTGTATCTGATTGGCTGTATTGTAAGAATCTTGCAAATTTTAACTAAATTTTTAAATCTGAATTATTTTCTCAGTATTGATGGATGCAAAATCTTGCTCATTTTTGCTAAACCAATGCAAATGTTGCAAGATCTTGCAAGAAAAATGCGAGAATAAAGTTTTTCGCAAAAAGTTTTGCAAGATTTGCATTTGGAAAACACGATTTTTACTATTTTGGGGGGTTGGGGTATTTTGCTGGTCGGCTAACATTAGAAATGTCTCATCGCTTTCTTTATCATCAACAAGAATTAATTGTTTCGGCAAAAAAGTACTTAAAATAATTAAGGGTTTCGTTAAGAGCCAAAAATTTTCAAAGTGATGTTTTTTTTTTTAGTATTTCGAAATCATTTTGCTGTCTAGTGAGCAGTCTTGTCAACAAAAAGGTCGTGAGTTTGAATCCCGCTTCGATCACGGTTGAAGGGGTCCCATTTTCATAGACCTCCTCAGACCGGCTGCGGCAAAATGAATGACATCTCTCTCTCTCTCTCTCTCTCTCTCTCTCTCTCTCTCTCTCTCTCCTCTCTCTCTCTCTCTCTCTCTCCTCTCTCTCTCTCTCTCCCGCGGAAAAAAAGCCCAAGGTAGAACGAACCTGGGGCTAATAGTAAAAAAGTTGTCTTTTAATATAAAAAACATCCATTGTTTCTAGATAACTCAATTGGGTCAAAGATGGAAACGAGGATCTGCAAACGAAGAAAACGAAGATGAACAAGTCTAAAACATAGGGGTGAATCTAAGATTTTCTTGAGGGGAAGGGGGGTTTTCAAAAAAAAAATTGAAAACGGATATTGGCGGTCGGCCGATGTCGTAAAATATAAGCAAAGGGTGAAAGTTTTAGGCGATCAATGGGCTGCCCCCTGCCCCCTTCCTAAATCCGCCCCTGATAGAACCCATCCAAAAAATGTGCAGCCCGAACATCAGAAATGGCGGAAAAAATATTCTTGTCTGTTTATCGTAGAAAAATGCTACCAATATTTTGGGTTCTCTTCAAATTTAGCTTGTGGGTTGGCGTGCACTGAGTAAATAGGACACTCAATTAAGTACTCTATCTCGAAGAAAAATGTTTTATATTGAAAGTATATTTACAAAAAAAAGAAAAATGTAATGAAAATCATTTTAAATTGTATTTTAAATTTACACTCAGTTTAATATCTTTCAACCTAATTTAGGTTGAAGCACACGAAAACAAATAATAGAATAAAACCGTGAAACAATGTTTTGACATCTAGAGTTGACCCTCTAGCTGAGTTTATGCTGATGTAAATAACCCGCGAGTAATATTCACCCTCAGAAAAATCATTATTTTGGTCTTCGCGGTCTAAAGAGTTGCTTGTAACAGTATTTTTTGCATTTTCAGTATCTAATTTGGTCGAATCGTACTTAAGAAGCATTGGCGTATCGAAATCTGCAGCTTCTTGGGAGTAGAACTCAGTACCAGCTAGAAATGGGTCCAGGATATATGAAAATTCTATCACGTTTCCACTCCACGCAATGACTTTCTGGTAATGCTGAGCTTGCTTTGGAGTCAGTTTTCCAATTCCGTCAAAATTATCCAAAACTTCCAAGTCCAATTTTTCGAAAGTTTTGTCTGGAATGAGAGCGAATTGAGCTGCCGTGATGTGATTAAGATGTTTTAGGCCAAGAAGCATGTTCGGCCTAATGGTCAGTTTCATTTCGTCTAAAGTTGGGTGGTATATAGAGACAACATCTGTGACAAGTGCATTATCGGGACAGTCCAGATGATCGAAAACGGTGTCGGTTTTGAATATCTCCAGTTGGATGTTTAAATGAAACAACAAGTTCGACGGGAATCCGCAAAGAAATCTGCCCAAAATGTTCAGGTGAAAAGGAGTCAATTTGAAAACGGTGAGGTCATTTGTTTTCAGGTAGTGTTCGAATCCCGCTGACAACTGTTCTGTAGTCCAATTTGACTGCGAGAGTGTTTTGACAACATTTGCGTTTGAGAAATTAAGCATAGAGATATTTTTAGCCGGCACAAAATCGGGTAACAGGTCACGAAGACGGATGAGTTCTTCAGGGCGAAGAGTTTCCAATCCAGTCCAAGAAACTCTGTCAAAAATAGTTTGTTTTGTAGCTTGAGTTAATTTATTAGGGTTTCGTTTGCTCAAATGCTCAATCACCCGGTGAAATTGACATTCAGACATAGTCCGGATATCTGTTTGTGACAAAATGTCTGAAGGAATTAAATTTATGAAATCATAATCTGATTTAGTTCCCCTACAATTTGATTTGAACAGATCTTCGTTTTTGAGCTTGATGAAAACAAGGGTTCGAATATTGCTCACGCATTCACTAGAGTTTGATTCATCTCCGAATGTTTTTCCGCTTTCTAATTGAAGCGCAAGCAAATGCCAAAGTTGCAACCTGTCATATCTAAGCAAAGAATTTTTCAGGTATTGTTCAATTTCTGAAGTCTCAAAAATATTGCACAGAGAATTTCTGATTGAAGCAATTTGATCGAAATTCAACTCTTCTAGTTTACCGAGCTTAGACTGTAGAGCTTTACCCTGCGATTGGTCGAAGTCGCAGCTCTGTAATTGGTCCAGAGTTGTCTTCAAAGTTTCTTTCGAGATTCGGTCCAGCATTTTTGCGGGTAAGAAACAGTTCAAATTTCCGAGAATTGATATATCTTGACTTTCATACTCACACTTTTCGACACTTTCACAGAACTTGCATTGAGTGAAATATAACTCAGCCAAAATCCGATTTGAATTCATTGAATAGTCGTTAACGTTAGTTTGCCCTATTTTCATGAAAACATCTTTGCATTTATCTTTATTGGTGAAATTAAAATTCTCGAGAGCAAACTCTCTGTAAACTTCGCCGGTCAAGCTCTTGATATTCAGGTCGGAAAGTTTACCTAGGTTGAACTTCTCCTGGTTTAAAACATACCAGACACTTTGAACTTTTTGCGCAATCACTTGCATCATTTTTCTATTAGGACTTTCAACTTGATCCAAATAAACAAAAATGACATCAAAAAAGTAGAACGGGTTCAATTCTCTTACATCTTGAGTAGTGAATCCTCTGACAAGTTTTTTAAGAGACCTCGCAATTTGTCCCGTAATTTCTGAAGTTCCAAGGAAAGTCCGGAACTGTGAAAAGACCAAAGCCGACAGTTGCGGGGAAAGTTCCATGTCTATGACGTTCAGGGAGCTCCCGGTTTGAATGAAACCCTGAACGAAGTCAAACTGCAAATCAAACTGTTTGATATCCTTAATTCTTTCGGCCAAACTTGTTGTGTTCATAGCTTGTAGCAAATCTGAACTGTATTCCACGAATTTAGCATGCGGGCATGTTTCGACAATCATTATTTTATGAGCAGAAGACAAGGTTTTGGACACTGAGTTTATGACGTTCAGTTTGGCGCAGATTGACGTTTCAAACGAGATCTGGTTGGGCGGCAACTGGCCAATCAGATTCGATAACTCTTCTAATTGGTTCTCCTTGATTGCAATTTTGTCGTTGCTCGTCGACAACTGGGATGCCAAGAATGATCCAAGGAGAGTTTTCTGACTGCTCGAAAGTTGAGACGTCTAAAATAAATCTTCATTTACAATTTCAAAATGATTTGCGTTTTATTTTTTGTCCTCAGAGGACTAAAAAAAAAGATATCGGAGGTATTAAAAAAAAGCTTTTTTTTTACAAGTTTGACCTTTTTGCTGGGATTCGACTTCAAATCATTAGAAAAATTTACAATGCACAAAATCTTTGACAATTAACAGTCTTCGACGATGAACAAGGAACATTTATTTATTGAATGAACACTCAGTAAATTTCTTTTATCCATGATTTAACAATTATAAGACAACTAAATTGTAAATACACATTCGACAGACAAAAGAGATTTTTTTATATTGTCGCGATATCTCTCCTAATCAGTCTAAATTTGTCTGTTATCTCCGGTTTATAACCCATGGGTCTTTTTTAACTGAGAGAACCCGTCTAGATATTATCCAATGGGACGAAGAGTTGTAGAGATATGAACTTAGTTGAGGGGCATAAAAAGGGGGAGCGGGTTGTTATCTTTTTCTCTCTGTTCTTAAATCGTCTCTCTTAGTGGTATGTGAAGTGAACTTAACTTAATGGCCGATCCAAGCCCAACCCGATCTAAGACTGTCGATATTTTGCTCTTTTTCTTATCTTCCTCTCTACCGGGTTCTATATGAGACCATTAGAGAGCCTTATCAGTGCATTAGCACAATACGACCCAATAAAAGAACAATATTGAACAGCCGCATTCGATAAATATCAAATTATTTCAATTTTTCAGCATGTTTTTCAAAATTTCAGAAAAAAAAACTATTTTTATCAAAAGGTCCTCGTCATATATTGCAAAAAAAAAGAATTACAGATTCCCCGTAGAGTTAGTTTTTAAAATAAAAAACGAGAACTTCAAAACAATCAAATTATTTTAAGTTTTCAGAAGCATTTTGAAATTTCGGTAAAGTAGTAAAGTATCCAATATTTGTTCATTTAATTGAACAAAAAATAGAATTATAGCTTTTAAGATGGAAAAACGCCAAAACTATAAGGAAGTTAGCGCTGCAAAAAAAAATAATGGCAAATGGCATTAAATTTATTCAGCAGTTGTTCAAAAGGGCAAACAATACTGTTTATTTTTTAGTCGATAGAAAAAAAAGTCGGGAGTAAATGTTTGCATATCTAATTTACAGCACAAATAGATTGTTAGCTGTGGAAGGAAATGAAATCTTAATCAATGGAATTAATTTATGTGATCAAACTCCGAAAAAAAACATTTCTCAAGTGTTTGTCAAAGAATACCTGGAATTTAAGATCTGAAAAAGAAAATTTCGAAAAACGGCTCTGTGACGTTTGAGACAATTAAAAACATGATCACCCTGTTTTCGCATTTTTCTAAACACAAAAAAAATCAGCCAGGACCCATTTAAATTTTTGTGCTCCAAGTATCACACTTGTATCGAGTTGTTAGATTTTTATTATATTATACCCAGGGGCGGATTTAGGGGGGTGGACGATTCTTTTCTCAGGGATTCGAGCCCCTCGTCAACCAAAAATCCCTCCTTTGGTATTTGTTTTATGAAAACCATTTCGGCCGACCAACCCTTAATTTTTTTTATGATTAGTAATATTGGCGCCAATATATACTAATTTTGTAGGGGAGCGCGCGCCGAAAAAATGCAATTTTTTGGTCAAAATTTTCGAAAAAGTGCCTAAAAACGCCTTGTGTCCAAAAACTTGCACAAAAGAGAGTTTTTTAGTGATTTGGGAGAGCTCGGAGATCAATTTGGCCGACCTTAAAAAAATTTTTTTTAAAGTTCGACACCCCTCCTTAAAATAATGTTAAATTATTGCAATTTTTGAAAAGTTACTTTGAGGGACAAATTTCTGTGAAGCTAAGAGATTGTTTCTGCCTTGATTTCCCGGAAAAACGATTTGTTTTGTAAAATCAACCTGCAGTAACTTTTCTAAATAGAACTTAAGGTTATTTAAGTTTTTCAAAAAAAACATGTCGGTCTTTGGTCGACCATTTTGACCATTTGAGCTCCCTCAAAGCCCTAAAAAGACCCTGTTTTGCGTCAAAAAATTCTGCACCGCAGGCGTTTTTTGAGAAAACCGACCAGAGATGACATTTTAAAAAAAAATTGAAATATTTTGACCGAAAAGTTGCATTTTTCGGTTCGCACTCCCCTCTCAAATTTAGTTTATATTGGCGGCAAAAAATTTTGAGGCTGGTCAGCCAATGGAAAATCTTTTGAAAAATTTGTCAACCAGAACTGAGGACGAGGCAGTCACTTTTGGAAAAAATGGAAGTCGCCTCTTGGTACACTACTGATAAAAGTAAAGCCTATAACTGCAATTTTATAAATCTTTTAAGAGCCTTCAAAACTAACCTGAATTGAAGAGAAGTCGCGAAGTTTCATTTGGGAAAATATTTTCATCTCCTCCACACTCAAAAGGGGGAAAATAGTCTGCATTTTCATCAGATTCTCAGAATCAGTGACACTGGTCCTTCCAACTACAACTGATTCAAAGGCCTTCAAGGTCACCCAATTAGGTGAAAATGGCAACAACTTCTGCATCTGTGAAAACATTTCACGTTCTGACCTAGACGCAACAGCGGATTCCTGGCGGTACCATTTGAACAACTGTGCATACGACAGAAAAGGCGTAAAACTTTCCAAAAAAGGTAGGAAAAGGTCGGTTCCAGGAGACTCCATCCAATCTCCAAACGCTTCATCGATGATAGCGAAAGATTGCGTCATTCTGACGTCATAACGCTCGGCTAATTTCATGAGTGAGACGAACTGTTTGCGTCCGTAGTTCCTTAAAAGTCTGGTCGGTAAGACTGGAATCAGTTTCTCGATGTGTTTCCGAAACTCTCTGGGCCAGCTTCGAATGTTTTCGGAATAAGTTCGGATTACCGAGTCAACGACAAGCGAACAGATCGGTTTATGTTGTCGGTTAGTACAATCAACTTCAGGTAAAATAGCGTATGAGAGTATAATTTCAAACAACGAGGGCAAAACTCTCCTAAACAGTTCGAAAAAGTGGAAATTCATTCCTTTGCCCAATGCATGCAGCGAGTAGTCTATAAGTGCAGGTTTGTTCCATTTGTTCACAATTGTCAGCAAACTTTGTCCGTCTCCAAGATGAGTTTCGGTGGCGTTCAGAATTGCGAACTTCCCAGGTGTAGAGTCCCAATCAAGGTCGTGTTTGTAGATTCCCTGAATCACCGTTTTAAAGTCCTCAGCGTTGCTCAAGCTAGCATGCTGCAGAATATGTGATTTACCAGAGATGTCAATCTTGCGGCTATTTAGAAGGAATCTAACGGCTTCGGGAAGCAGATTAGCAATGCAGTCGGGTCGCAACATCTGCGCAGTCGCGGATCCAAGACGCTCCAGCTGGGGAAAACGAGCGAAAGAACAGTCATAGGGATCTCTGGAAAACAGTCCAGACTCTTCGGAAAATTTGTTGGATGTTGAGCTGAAACTGAAACCCAGCTCGTCGGCAAAAGTTACTCGGAAAATTTGTTCGTTTTCCGAGTTCGTCACTCCACTGAGTCCCAAAAAATTGGGCGGGATTTTGCTTGATGAAAAGGATCTCGAATACACGTTTGTGTACATTGAAAGTAATATTACAGCTGCAAGAAATTTCATGTTTAAGTTGAATGGCAGATTTATTATACCAAGTTAAAGACTTTTGAAAACTTTTCAATAGCAATCGAGACCAATTGTGTTTTAATCGACAATTGGTTAAAGTTTGTTATTCGTAGTAATTTTACAATCGAAATGATTTGTTTGACAGGATGCGAATTGGGATATAATTGAATTGAAACACAACCCCAAAAAGTGTTTTACAATTGATTAAATCCCTTTAAAGACTCGCTTAAAAGGTTGGATAATTTGGTGGATTAGAATCTGATCCCTGACTTAACTCATTCAAAGAGTGGCGAAATAAGAGCTGAATTGAAAGTGAAAAGTGATACTGAATATTAATTTTAATCCGGGCTAAGTCTTAGCCTCTGGAGAACTTTTAAACTGGGCTCCCTATTCCAGCAGACCGGGACAAAATAACTTTGAAAAGATGCTTGTCAAATATTACTGGTTAATTCAGCGTTATACAATAACTAACACTAACTTATAAATGCTCGACCACCTCTTTTAAGTGCGATGAAAAAAAGAAATCCCAGTTTATTAACTTAAATAAAACCTGCGGGAGTAAAAGCTTTTCTTTTATGCCTCAAATTTATTTTAAAAATTTGTCAGGAAAGCAAAATGGGAAAAATAATAAGCGAAAATGAGAGATTTATTAAAATTGACAAGGGCTGTTTAGAAAACATTCGAGTGTTTTGTGGCGCGATAATTGTCAAAAGTAACGTGGATCTTCAGAAAGGAAGTTTAAATTTGGCTCAATTTATTTTAATTGTTGCTCTCTGAGATAGGAAATTAAATTTTTATTACTTCTGATCTGACTCGGCAAAGACTCTTCACGAATCAATCAAGTGCACTACCTGAGTATACTGGAGAAGCAACAGAAACGTGCAATAAAAGTGTAATTAATATCGTATCAGTTCAAACAGATTTGCACTTTTTCCCCCATTTAACACTCACTCGCAAATAAAAGTAAAAACAGGCAAGCAAAACACTCTATTTTCTAGTTTAACTCGTCCGCTCAAACAGCCCAAAAACCCTAAAGCTCGAAAAAAACTAGAACAGATTTGGGCATAAAATTAAGAGCTGGGTAAAATAAAGTCAAACCCTCCAGACTTCGTGAAAACTAGGAAGGAAGATTTTGCGAATTAAGAGCCGAAATGTGGAAATTGGGTCGCGAATAAACATGGAAAGACAAATTTGGAACGAAAAAAGAGGTCACAAAACTAACACATGACAAGACAGGATTTATGTCTGAAACTAACTTGAAACTGATTTTAAAGCTGTAAGTAATTATTGAATCAAGAGAAAGTTACAATGATACGAAAATAACTGACAGTTGGATCCAATGAAAAGATATGATTGATGCTATTCATATATGCTGGCTTGTCACGTCAGAAGAACACAGGCTGTAACAGATTTGTGTAGTGTTCAATTCATCTTTGCATAAAAATTAATAAATTTGGAAATCATCTATCCTTTGAATTTATTTTTAAAAATAACCAGAAACATTCGCAAATACAAGGCAACATCTTCAGAACATTGAAAAAAAAAATTTATATGAATGTAATCAAACCTCTCAAAACCAGAAGCGGGTTTAGGGAGAGAAAAGACGGACTCCTATTCGACATTCATATAAATTCATGTATTTAAGAGGAGCGCGCGCCAAAAAACCCCCAATTTTTTGGTTAAAACTTTCAAGAAAGTGCGCAAAAACGGAATTTTCGTTCTGTTTTTTTTTCAAAAACTGCCTGGGACGCAAACATTTTTATCAAAATAGGTTTGAAAATCCTTCTCCTTTGAAAAATCTTAGATCTTGGATTCCAGAGACAAGTTTTTAAATATGTTCTGGAAACTTCTAAGAATACAGTTGCGGATTCCGTAAATTCGCCTATTTTTGGAGCAATTTTGAGCGGTACATAGTTTTAGGTATTGTGGAATCCAAAACAGCATAGAAGATCAAAGAAAAGAGCGATGTTTCGGATTCCGCGACAAATCTGATTTTGGCTTGTTGCGGATTCCGCTTATAATGCGCAGAAAGCACAGTTTGGCCTCGTAATGCATGGCGTGGGATGTGTTCTTTTTTGTAGATTTGATTGCAACAAAAAAGCGCGTATGGGGGTCATTTGTGGTACAATATCAAATCACTTTTAGCACTCATTTAGATTTAGACAATTTTTTTAAAAAAACATCTAACTGTCAATGATCTGATCTGACTTTTTCCGACATTCAGAACACATTTCACGAAAATTTTTGACGCTGAATTGAACTCAGTGTTAATGACTCTCAATTTAATTTTAGTTTTTATTGCATTTAAACTGTTAAAGTAAAATTATTCATCATTAGAAAAAATTTTCACTTAGTTTAACTGTTATTTACTTAAAAAGCATTATCAAAATTTTTTTTAATTTTTATTTTTGAAATTTTCTCTAACTTATGCTGATCGAAGAACTCTGTGCTACTTGCAAAGCACCCGCTTGTCCTTTTTTGATTGTCTGAAGCCATTTTAGGCAGGCTATCAGGCTATTAAGAGAAATTTAGAGTGATCAACCTCTTTTTATTGCAATCAAAACAACAATGAAGAAATTTTGCTAGGTGTTTCGGCAAAGGTGATCTTGTTTAGTTAAAGCTCCGAAAACAACAAATAGTAATTGCTGCGACCATTGAAAATGGGGAGGAGCTTTGTTTTAAAAGTGTTTTGGTTTTTTTGCTTTTTTTTGCTTTCCTCGCAAAATCAGCTACCACAAACATTGAATAAACAAGGTGGAATGAAACATAATACTGAAGTTTTTTCAGTCGTGATAAGAACGACATCTAAAAACTTCCAAAAATTTTTCTCAGTATCGAGACAAACCGATTGACGATTTTGATTTTCCGAAAAACCGATTGACGATTTTGATTTTCCGTCTAATTTCGAGCGAGTAAAGTAATCGAGTAACGATCGTTAGATATCAAAAATAACTAATTCGGCTAAAAAAAAACTTTTTCACTTCAAGAAAAACTAGTTTTGTAAAATTACTTTAGCTCTTTTTTGGCAAAAAAAATTTTCAAAACAATTTTTTTATATTTACTAAATTTTCACGCATTTGTATAGTTCTATTATCACACGACTCACAAAAAAACTACTTTGAAGAAAGTAAAGAAAGGAAAATTGGATGCGAATGTGGTCGGAACATACTGTGCTACTTGCAAAACAACCGCATATCCTTGTTTACTTATTTTAAAAAAGTGAGAATATGCCAACAAGAAAGTATCTTACAGAAAGTTTCAGAGTTGTCTCAAATAGTTGCGAGTCAATATTAGAAGTTCGGTAATTTGCTTTGTGGTATTTTTGAATCAACTCAAAATATTGGGAGTGTGTTGTGGCTTGTGTTCTTCTGCATAATGATCACAACAAAATTGACTAGCAAATTTTATGCATTGATTTTTATCTGGACAATATATGTTTCAAAAACAATTTGGTTTTACCGGTAATAGTATTTATTGCCAAAATATGTTCAAAAATTGATTAAATTTTTTTCTGAAAACACAGAATTTAACCTAAACGGAAAGCCATGATTTTCTCGCATAATTAACAATCTGCCAGATCATTTTGTCAAGACATCGCCTAAAAGTTGATTGAAAAACGACACTTTTTTCTCGTTTAGGTTAAATCGAAGACTGCTAAATATATTCATAACAAGTTTCTTAAGCAACCCTCTACAAATATACATACATACAAACACGAAAAATCTTGTTCGTAAAAAACTACTGGGTTAAACTCGAACCGTGGCTTCTTATGGTCGAAAAACTTCTCGGTCGAGAAAAAGCTTGCGTTGAACACAGTCAAAATCAATTTTCTCGGTTGAAAATTTTCTAGGCCAGGAAAACATCTCGGTTGAACTTAATCGAAATGTGTTTAATTGGTCAAATTTGGTCAAACAACATATTTTTCCGCGATCGAACATTGTCATCTTGGTAGACATCTTGGGTCGGGCCCTTCGAAACATATCAAGCCCGGGTCGAGTCATTCAAAACATCATTTGCAAATCCCAAGCAGGTCGCGGAAAGTCGCAAAACCACTTTGGTCGAGCAAAATTGCCAAATATTGCTTTTGAGTCGCGCAAAGTTGCAATATACCCATTTTGAGTCGCAATAGTAGTAATATACTTTTTATTGGGTCGCACAAAGTTGCATAAAAATTTTGGGCCGCAATGGTCGCAACATAGGTACCCGATCTCGATGCGGGTCTTCCACGCAATTGGAAGACTAAGTTGATATAATGAACAATGCGTATTACAAAGCTTTGTTTTTGCAACTCCTGTTCCGAAAACTAAACAAAACCCAAAGCAATTGATGACGAATTTGGTACAAACGTGGAGCCAAAAAAGCAGTAAGAGGTGGCTAATTTTCCAGTGAGATTGTTTTTTCCAGTGAGATTGTTTTTGGCGGGAACTGATGCCGTGATCCTTATAAAACTGCTCGCTTTTGTTGACAATCGAGCCCAAAATAAAACATTTCAGTCAAAGTTTTAAATAGAGAATTCACCAGAATCAATTGAGCATTCTGATGAATGGCGTGCATAAAATAGAATCACTCTAATACTACTTTTACCTCCAACCTAACATAAAACAGTGCATCAATCTATCTGGTCTATTGTACAGAAAAACGCCATCTGGTCTATTTGAAAATTCCAGGCGTTGTTTTGCGGTCACGGTTTTATGTTGGAAAGTCACCTTGATGGGTATATTTGGATACATCGAATCTGAAATTTTTTCAAAGACATTTCTGGAAAATACCCTAATCCGTAAGTTATACCTTTGAACTATCTGAAATTCAACTGCAAATAACTGTTGAAAAGAAAAAAGCGAAGTTCAAAATCAACACAAAAAAATCAAATACAAAAAAGACAAAATTTAACTGTAAGTGTAACAGAGCATAAAAATAAAACAATTTTTTCTTGTTCAAATTCAAGAAACTTTGTATTTTTTTCCTTCAAACAGCGAGAAATAAACGAGAGAAAGTTCGCGCACAGGAATTCTTTACATTTTGATTACATTTGAGTTTTTTCGCCAGTGTCTATAAAAATTAACAAGACTGCTGGTATCATGTCACAACCCTGAATGTTCCGACTGCCCCTCAACTGGTTTTTGGCTATCAATATAAATTTTTCAGGGTTATAAAAAAGTTACGTATCTGAAATTAAAAAGACCAATTAGCTAGCCTCAATTCGATTTCGAACAATTTTATAGTGCGGGATAACTCGCCACGCGTAAATAATTAACTAATTCGCGTAATTCTTTCATCATCAAAGTAGAAAGCGAGCAGTTTACAAATGCTAGGTTCAGAGTTTTCAGAAGGTGACGCTCATATAGTGGTGTGTATTCACGGCCGGTCCTCAGTAGGTCACTGGGTTGAGTCACCTATCAGGTAAATGTTTTTTTTTTGAAACTGTTCTGTATAAAAAACCCAAGCATATATATATTCTTCACTTTCTTCGAAATTTTGAACAAAAAGAATTGACATTATTTCATTTGCGAGGGATTTTATTGCTTTAAAAACTAATAGAATGACAATAAAATCCATTGCACATGAATAAAATTCAATTATTTTTCACTTTGATAGACACTGACAATGAAATTCGAAGATAATCAATAAAACTTTCGTGCGGGAAAGTTCTCACGTGTATTCTTCGTTGTTGAAATGAGGATACAAAACTTGAATTTGAACAAAAATGTTTGTTTTGATTTTATGCCCTGTCACAGATTTAGTTAAACTTTGTTTTGTTGTGTTTTCTTGTGTTAAACTTTTAAGCAATTGATGATTTAATTTTTATGTGTCTGTGCAAAACAGTCCTATACAAAACAGTCCAATATAAAAAAGTCCGAAAAAGTATGGAAAAGAACGAAAAAACAGTCCGATACAAAGCAGTCCAAAAAACAGTCCCAATTAATAATTGTTTCAACAAGCCGGTAGGCCGAAAATTGTCTTTTGTTCAACAAACATAATGAAAAAAATAGTGACTGCCGCATTCGCGCCAACGTGTTGCGAGCTTGCCAACAGAGGGTAGGATTTAATACGAAAGTTAGAGCCGGTTATTGCCGCAAAGCCGCAGCGACCTTAAACTGGTCTGTTTTGTATTGGACTGTTTTTTTCCTCCATTACTTGATTTTTCGGACTATTTTGTATTGGACTGTTTTGTATGGGACTGTTTTGTATATGCACCAATTTTTATACAGTTAAATTTGAAATTCTTTCTGTCGAATTTGAATTAAAAAAGGTATAGTGTTTTCAACCAATCTAAAGTTTTAGGATTCAAACATCAAATTTATACCTATTGCAGTTTCTATACCTGTAAAGAATTACAAAGTTGGTTGGTAATTATATAGTGTTCCTTGCCACAGTTCAAACAATTGACAGCTAAATTTCTAGAATGTACAAAACCGGTTACTTTCAGTTTCACAGTATTTACAATTTTATACAAATATGCATAACTAGGAACAAGCCTAATCATTTCTCACAGGGATAACTTCTTTATAATTTGTCAGAATTTTTTTTCGAATTTTTCTTCGACCAATTTGATTTTCCAAGCTCTCTAAAATCAATTAAAAAAATTTGGCCAAAATTTTTGCGCTACCAATAAGAAATTAAAACAAAAACACCATTGGTTGGCTTTGATAACAAAAAATTGTGTTATTTTACCGAGCGCTCCCAAATTAGCTTTAGTTGATATTTGAGCACAGGGGCTGACTTAGGGGGGCGTGGGGGGGGGGGGTGTTGGGGGACGCCTTCCTCCCTCAGGGATTCGACCGCCTGCCGACCCAAAGGGTCCCCCCTTTGATACTTTTAGAAATCCATTTTTGGCCGACCGACTCTAAAATTTTTCTAAAAGAGCCTTAGGCGCCAATATATTCTAACTTTTAGGGGGAAGTGCGCGCCGAAAAAACGGGATTTTTTGGTCAAAATTTTCCAAAAAGTGCCTAAAAACGCCTTCTTTGGACTGTTTTTTCTAATTTTTGCCGGCGCCGTAGAAAATTTGGCCAAAACAGAAACTAAATCGTGCTTAGGGAAAGCTCAAAAAATCCATTCGGCCGACCTAAAAAAAAGGTTGACAAAATTTTTGATCATAAGTGAACAATCTCCCCCTAAATCAGTTTGCCTTCACTTAATTGCGGGATAATTGTTCACTTGGTCTATTAGGGAGGGGAAAATTCTTCACGTTCAGAGACAAAAAGTGATTACATAAGAGTACTAAAGAGGGAGCCGAAATCCTGAAAAAAAAAATTTCAGTCAGAAAATTAGTCGGTTTTCTCGGAATTACAGACTACCAATTCAGGTTTTGTTTCATGATCAGTTTTTATATTGTTCTCCCCAGCAGCAAATGATTGCGTCTCATTTGCAGCAGCTGCTAACTTCTTTTGGTTGCTTGCATCAGAGCTGGATTCTTGGTCTAAATTTATTGACATTTTTTCCGGCTCCAAAGAAATTGTTGTTGCTATTACTGTTGACGGGTTTGAAATATCGGTCGTTATCGGGATTGAACTAACCGGATTTTCTAACTCTAAAATTACTGCGGTATCATTTTGGCCTGCGAGTTGTGCTGAGCTCGTATCCAAACCATTTACTGAATTAATACCAGTAAAACCAGGTGTTGTTGCATTCGTATCAGAAACTGTATTCGGGTTCTGGTCAGCAACATTTGCTGCAGTTTGATCCAAAACCGAAGTTGTAGGCTGTTCGGAAGCCAGTGACATATTTTGGTCGGAAACTTGTTTCGTTTTTGCATCGGAAATAATTTCTGTTTCTAGGTTGGAGTTAAGATTATTCTCTAGAATTATCCCAGCTATTTTATGTTTCCTGTCTTTGCTCATTTTGGCCGGGAACACAACTTCAAAACACACAATCAGATCTCCGAACTCGTTTTCTCGCTTAGACAGAGGCATCCCTCGACCAGCGATTCGCTTTTGTGTTTGCGGTGAGACTACTTCGTCGTCTTCTTCAAGGTGCAGCTCCACTGAACTTCCACTCAGAGTCGGAATGACGAAAGCGGTCGCAGCGAAGACCTAAAAAAGAACAAAAGGGACATAAGTTATTTTTAAATGGGCCTTGAATCTGTTATGTAGCAGCAACAAAAACAGCTGAACAAAAAACGGAATCCGCCAAATGAATGATTCCGTACACCAGGAAAGCCTTGCAGTGGGTAGGGCAAGGGCTAACAAAAATGTTCCGATGACTTTTGTCCAATTTTGCTTTAATAATTTGATAAACTTATAGAGCTTTTGGTTTTTACCAACCTAAGAAATTTTACGAGAAACAATTTTTTTTATTTAAATGCGTTTTCAATGACCTTCGGCTATACTTTAAAGGTAAAAATATTAAAATTTCATAAATTTTTTGTTTCACGATTGAGTAGAAACTTTGAATTCATTTTATTTAATTTGTTTAAGCTCGGATATTTATTCGGGACGTTAAATCAGTCATTTTTTGAAGTTCATAATTTATTAACTGAAAAACATTTGTATAAAAGTTGTTTTTTAAAGCATCCATTTCTAAAGCAGCTAAAATGTTAGAAAAAGATAACAATAGCAGCAAAACATATGCACAAAAAACAGCAATTTATAAGTTTTTAGCCATGATCTTTCTTTTTTCAAAACTTTTTTTTCATTTTTTGTATTCATTTTTTAAATTCGTTTTATGAATTGATTATTGTCAATTATTATTGGGAAAAAATATGAATTATTCAAAAAATAATTTTGAGGATAAAATAATTTATTTAACAAAACATAATGAAAACCTCAATTTAATTGATTTTGTTTGCCTCAAAAAACACCAACTGTATACAAAGTTTAGGAAAAATTTATTGCTTGGGGAGGAGATTGCACGGTAAGTTAATATGAAGGGAGGAAAATTGTCCTTTTCATCCTATTTTTTATTATGTTTAGCAGCAAATAAATTTTTATTAATCTTCAATAAAACAATTAGCAACTCAGCAAGTTGTTCTTTGCGCTTCTATTCAACCATATCACAAAATTTAAACCTCTTCAAACTTTTCAAAACTTTATTCAAAAATTCAACATGAATACGTCGGAAAAAGGATATTTTGACTCTTCTACCACACCACTAACTTTGATTTTTGTTCCGACTCGGAAAAAGCAATGAAGTTTGAGGCAACTTTTTAAAGAGATTAATTTAGACAATCTTAATAAGAGTTGTAATCAACTCATACCTCAATAAAAATATCAATTTCCTGAAACCAAACTTAATAAAATACTTTACCTACATTCATTTTCGGGCAAGTTCTCGGGGTTTGAAAATTGCTAATATTGCCTAGTTCTAGACTAAATATCGTGGGCTTCGAAGATTCTAAGTATGATGTTGAAAACGTTAAGCGATCTATTTACGCGTGGTGAATTAACTTGCTCTGAAAAATGTTTCAAAATGAACTGAGTCAAGCTAATTGATCATTTTATTGTTCCGACTTTCGAAGAAAGTGACGGAATAGTTTTGCTCGCGGTGTTCTTTTTCTCCTGAAAAAAAATTTGCCCTGAGATCAAATTTAAAAATTAATTTTACGTGTGATAGTTTTTTAAAAATTTTAGAAGGGTTACAGAAAGCCAATTTGGGACAAATACAGCGCGATATATTTCGCACCATTAACACTTCAGAGGAGATTTAATCCATTATAGAAATCGTTCAAACTAAATTGAGGCATCAAGTTTTTTTTAATACTTAGCATTTTGTACTTTATATAGAGAGTGGTGATGGTTTTGTAAATTTGATCCATTTTTGTAAAGCAAACACTAACACTTTTCTATAGAGCCAAAAATACAGTTGCAACGTTCAGAATTTTGACCTGATACGAGCAGTCTTCTTTTCTATGTGAAACAAACTATAAAAATCAATCTTGAATTTGACAGTCCAAAATTTATAGTATAAAATTTTGGGTCTTTCCTACCATCCCCCCCGCTCCCCAATTTTTAATTCAAATTTTTTTAAAATAAAGCAGGTAAAATGGAATTTTTTGCTTTCCGGTTGTTTTACGTGTTATTATGGCGAAATGCATCATGTTACGATGCAATATTTTTCTTCATACTTCACATCGTAACTTCACACTTTCAGCCATAATAGCACGAGAATAGAAAACTAGAAAAGTGGAGGGAAAGTGAAGGGCATGATTACGAGCAGTCTTGTTATAGTTTCGATTTTTTTTTTCAATGAATCCCCTTGTCATGAAATTTTGAAGGTGTTAGCTACTTAATGGCAAAGAGATAATTAGCCTTTCATAGACATATTTAAAGAAAGCACTAATCTTTTTGCACGTGCTGCAATTTACAGAAAAATCTATTCTGAGTTCCAGAATTTAGTAACTGTCTCAAAAATAAAAGAAAGATGTACCTTAAGGCTCTTTTTTCTTTAAATAACGAATCTTTTCGAAATCCCCTTCATAATTGAATCTCACTTTTAAAACACTATTTTGGCGTTGTCTCAATGAAATCAAACACGTAAAACAACTATAAAAAAGAAGGGCTCTGAAACTCAATACATGAAAGTCTATTTAAAATTACTTTTCTTGTGAAAAACTGCATCAAAACGTGTCAGCGTGAACAGGTGAACAGATTTTTAAAAACATTTTTTGGCTCTTTTTCCTTCCCCCCCCCCCCACCTCACGCCAGTTTCAACTTATTAGTTTAACGAGTGGTTTTACGAGATTGAGTATGAATACCAAATATGTTTGCCGTGGCCTTAATAGTCTGTATGTAAATTTTCATAACAATCGGAAAATGTGGTCAACAAATTTACATGTAAAAATTTGCAGGTGGGAGGGAAAAGGAAAAAGAGCCCATTTCTTACATGAAAAAAGCCATGTGAACAATTTTTGAACAGCCTAGTTTTGCAATTTTGCGAGAGGTGTGGGAAATTGGAAAAAGCCTAAAAAGTAGACAGGGGATGGACAAGAGACAAAAAAAAGGAGTTTTTTTGTGTAACCGCTAACTTCTCATTTTATTGCTATGAAAAGGACCTCATAACTGAAAACAGTAGCGGATTTAGAGGGGGGCTGTGCCTCCTCCCCTCAGGGATTTGACTGCTGTCGACCCGAAGGTTCCCGTTTTGTACTATTTTGAGATACCCAATTTCGGCTTTTGGCTCTTTCTTTCCCCCCCCCCCCAACCTCACACGAGCTTCAATATATTAGTGTAACGAGTGGTTTAACGAGGTTGAGTATGAAGACCAAATATGTTTGTCGTGGCCTTATTAGTCTGTATGTAAATTTTCATAACAATGGGACTATGTCGTCAATAAATTTAAATGTAAAAAATTGCAGGGGGGGAAAGAAATTGTTTTTGGCCTTTTCTCAAAAAAAGGTTGACAAAAATTTCAAAAGTTTTTTGAAAAACCTCCCCCATCGAGAAAATCCTAGATCCGCCCCTGCGTGAAAACGTGTTAGCACATAGTAAGTTTCAAGTGGAGGAACGGTATCGGTATCTTTTTGCTTTTTGCCCACCCACCTGCAAGTTCTTAAGAATCTAAATTTTGTTCACATTGGCCGATTGTAATGAAAAGTGACATGCGGACGAGTTAAGCCATGACAAACATATTTGTTCTGTGTAAGTAAACAAGCAAAACCACCTATTACATCATAAAATTGATGTCCGTGTGAGATGGGGGGGGGGGAGAGGAGGAAAAAGAGCTGAGGAACGGAAAGCAGCCGGATAAGGAATAATTATTTATGTCCATTTTTTTCCTGTCCCATTTTGCCCGATTATATTATTTATTGACAATTGAACTTCTTAACATAATTTAAACATAATTGGGCTCTTTTTCCTTTTCCCTGCCACCTGCTAATTTTTATATTTGAAATTACTAATCACTTTGTCCGATTGTCATGAAAATTGACATGCGGACTAATTAGGCCATGACAAACATATTTGTTCTTCATAATTAACCTCGTAAAATCACTCGTAAAAACCCCTCGTTAAACCATAAAATTCATGTTTGAGTGAGGTGGGTGGGGGGGGGGGGGGGGGGAAGGAAAAAGAGCCCATAATTGCTAATCAAGTCTGTATTTTATTAGAAACACTGTCTACAGCTTAAAGTTAAGATAGCAGAGAAAAAAGGGCCAAAAATAGCAGAATAAAAAGAGCCAAAAGAGCTTAAAATGATGAGAAGAGTGTCACTTCTGATCAGGAGTCGGGTTAATTGTTCTCGCACTGCAATTAGAAGACACTTCTCGATAGGAACGGTGCCTCTGGATCACCCACAACAGCTCATCCCATTCAGCACTCGCAACAAGGTTGCACTCGATATGATCAGTTACAGTATACAGGTGACGTCACAACATTCGAACACCTTTTTTCGACACCCCCCCCCCCCTGTACCTCGCACGAGCAACAGTTTTAAGGTGGTTTTACAAGGCTAATTGTGGAGACCTGGCTCTTTCCTCCCCCCCCCCCCCCCCCGCGCCCACCTGCAAGTTTTTTAAAATTCAAATTACTGTTCACATTGTCCGATTGTCATGAAAATTGACATGCAGACTAATTAGGCCATGACAAACATATTTGATTCTCATATTTAACCTTGTAAAACCACTCTTTAGCCCATAAAATTGATTCTTTGTGAGAGGGGGGCGGGGGAAGGAAAAAGAGCCGAGACGAGATATGTTTATTATGGCTTAGTTAGCCCGCATGTCAATTTTTTAACAATCAGAAAAAACCAACCAACATTTATTCCCCCTCCCCCTCATATCAAAATTCTGTTTTCATCGTTGATTTTTGCGTTATTACGGCTAATTTTGCAGGAAAAAGAGCCAACGATTGTCTTTTCTCATAACTTATGCATAGATGCGATGCTGCTTCGCAAAAGCAAGCAAGAAAAACGGCATAAAATAGCCCCGAAAAGGTAAAAAAAAGAGAACAAAACCTTGAAAAAAAAACATTTCTTATCTGCCGGAATCGACTCTCCAGCTTCGAGAATAGGAGAATATAACACATGATTCTGAATTGATCGGATCCTCACTCATGTTGGCGTTTTGTGTGAGTTTTGATTCAGAACGAGGCTCTTTTCC